TTTTCTTTATATTGTTAATTGTGTACAAGTTTTGTTTTTTCAAATAGTATGATTTTTCTTCTTGTTACGCCATTGTTGTTTGTATAAATATATTAAAATATGCTTATATTATATCTTAATACTTATAACTTGAGAATGGCTGCCCACTACTAATGAAAACATTGAAAATTTACGAAAATAAAAATTCCAATACAAAATGTTCATTCATGCATTTCGTTACTGTCAAACATTTAATGATCATCCCGTAGATACTGTAACTCTCCCTTCAAATTAAATAACGAGTTTTAATGAAGGTTTCGGAACGACAAGATATATGCACAATACTCGGATAATAGAGTATTTTTTATTTAAAAATATTGTAGCATAATGTCAGTTAATGAAAAAGGATTGACATAATATATATAGGTTGTTTTTTTATAAACTCTTTATAAACATTTATAAAATCATAAATTAAGTTCAGCTTCATGCAACACGACGTCCATTCACTGTTAGGTGGTACGAAGTTCGCCGGGTCAGCTAGTATAAAATATAATAATAATAAAATAACTATGTCTAATATGTATGACTATAGTCCGTTACTGTAATAATATTGTTCTTCATATGTGTATTGTGTAAAATGTATGTAATGATTTTTATCGATCTTAGGCAACGCCTTAGAATAGAACTTTCATACTGTCAGTTTTATATTGATAATTTCCTACTAGTTGCTGTCAAAACCTAGTCTCATAAAATACATGGAAAGCATACAAAAGTCGACCTTGTAGTTATTTATCAATAAATTAGCAATGTAACATTCATCAGCGTTCAACAAAACATAATTTAAAAACCAGTCAACCATCTTAACTTATTATTCCATTTCCTTTATAAAAACCTTACAAAGTATATAGCAATAAAATTCATACAATGTAAATACGGATTGCCTATCTTGGAGTTTTTATGGAGATTAAAATAAATTTATTGAAGATGTTTCGATGTCAATTGTCATAGCAAATATTATTTGCGATTGATTCGTATATAACCTTCTAGACATTTCGCACTGATTTTCAACTTCCTTAGATGGAAGTTGTTGAATATTATTAAAATATTTAAAATTACACGCAAAAAATTAATTTGAGTTTTCTGATTAGCACAAGAGCCCGTGTTTCGTTGCACTGCAGGGAACTTATTTGTTTTACTTGACACATTTACCTTGTGAATAAGGTTTTACAAAGAATCATATGACTCTTTATTATATTTTATTAGGACACGCGGCCCTGGTATTGTTTTGCGTGGGATATCTTGTGTTTTAAGTATTTAATACAAGGTCGCCGTGCGGTAGATTAAATACATAGAGGAAATGGGTTGGGGTTGATATCCATGCGTTGGAATTTGATGATACTGATTATGCAGGAGTCTCGGGGACCCTTGATTGGAACACCTCCAAGTGATTTTAGCTTTAGGATAAGCGTCAAAGTATTTTAAAATTTTTTTTTAACTTTTGTCAATTGTATTGAAATTATAAACAATCCGCCATTATCTAACTACTTTTCTATTGGTTATAAGTGATGTGTCATTGTCGTTTTCTATTGGTTATAAGTGATGTGACATTTTCGGTAAATTAATTGGATCGATTATTTTCTCATTTGTTATTTTTAAAGTTAAACCTAATCGAATCGATTATTTTCTCATTTGTTAATTTTATAGTTGAACCTAATTTAAGCATTACTTGTCAAATGTACATACATTACATTAACTTCATGTTTTAATTAATGTATGGTTCCGAAAATTATTAAATTATTCAAATAGTACCCAAAACCGAATCAGAGCAGCCCACTATCCACGTGGTCTTGTCTGCCTTACCCCTAGAGTGTATATAAATAATCGGAGGCGCGGAGGAAGAGCAGCCCCCACCCGCTGTAACAAAGCACTGGCATTATGAAAGCTGTAGCGGCTGAGGCTGGTCGCCAGAGGCGACCAAAAAGCCGAGGTTGCGGAGGCTTGAATAAAATGCCTGTGCTTTGGTACGCAAGGGTGGAGGGGCTGCATTTCCCGTAGCGCCGGAGCTGTCCACAAAAAAAATATTATTTAGATTGGTTAGGTTAGAGTTAGTATATGAATATTTGGTCGCCGAAGGCGACCAGGACGCCGAGAAGCCGAGGCTTCAATAAACAATTACTATTTAGATCGGAGCTGTCCATAAAAAAAATATTATTTAGATTGGTTAGGTTAGAGTTAGTATATGAATATTTGGTCGCCGAAGGCGACCAGGACGCCGAGAAGCCGAGGCTTCAATAAACAATTACTATTTAGATCGGAACTGTCCACAAAAACAAATATTATTTAGATTGGTTAGGTTAGAGTTAGTATATGAATATTTGGTCGCCGAAGGCGACCAGGACGCCGAGAAGCCGAGGCTTCAATAAACAATTACTATTTAGATCGGAGCTGTCCACAAAAAAAAATATTATTTAGATTGGTTAGGTTAGAGTTAGTATATGAATATTTGGTCGCCGAAGGCGACCAGGACGCCGAGAAGCCGAGGCTTCAATAAACAATTACTATTTAGATCGGAACTGTCCACAAAAACAAATATTATTTAGATTGGTTAGGTTAGAGTTAGTATATGAATATTTGGTCGCCGAAGGCGACCAGGACGCCGAGAAGCCGAGGCTTCAATAAACAATTACTATTTAGATCGGAACTGTCCACAAAAACAAATATTATTTAGATTGGTTAGGTTAGAGTTAGTATATGAATATTTGGTCGCCGAAGGCGACCAGGACGCCGAGAAGCCGAGGCATCAATAAACAATTACTATTTAGATCGGAGCTGTCCACAAAAAAAAATATTATTTAGATTGGTTAGGTTAGAGTTAGTATATGAATATTTGGTCGCCGAAGGCGACCAGGACGCCGAGAAGCCGAGGCTTCAATAAACAATTACTATTTAGATCGGAACTGTCCATAAAAACAAATATTATTTAGATTGGTTAGGTTAGAGTTAGTATATGAATATATGGTCGCCGAAGGCGACCAGGACGCCGAGAAGCCGAGGCTTCAATAAACAATTACTATTTAGATCGGAACTGTCCACAAAAACAAATATTATTTAGATTGGTTAGGTTAGAGTTAGTATATGAATATTTGGTCGCCGAAGGCGACCAGGACGCCGAGAAGCCGAGGCTTCAATAAACAATTACTATTTAGATCGGAACTGTCCACAAAAACAAATATTATTTAGATTGGTTAGGTTAGAGTTAGTATATGAATATTTGGTCGCCGAAGGCGACCAGGACGCCGAGAAGCCGAGGCTTCAATAAACAATTACTATTTAGATCGGAACTGTCCATAAAAACAAATATTATTTAGATTGGTTAGGTTAGAGTTAGTATATGAATATTTGGTCGCCGAAGGCGACCAGGACGCCGAGAAGCCGAGGCTTCAATAAACAATTACTATTTAGATCGGAACTGTCCACAAAAACAAATATTATTTAGATTGGTTAGGTTAGAGTTAGTATATGAATATTTGGTCGCCGAAGGCGACCAGGACGCCGAGAAGCCGAGGCTTCAATAAACAATTACTATTTAGATCGGAGCTGTCCACAAAAAAAAATATTATTTAGATTGGTTAGGTTAGAGTTAGTATATGAATAGTTGGTCGCCGAAGGCGACCAGGACGCCGAGAAGCCGAGGCTTCAATAAACAATTACTATTTAGATCGGAACTGTCCACAAAAACAAATATTATTTAGATTGGTTACGTTATATAAATATTAATATACTAACCGTATATTAATATTTTTTTTAAATAACTGTTCAACTGAAACTCAAATCGAATACAAAATCGGATTTAAAATCGGATTTATATCGAATACTAAAATCGATTTTCACTTTCACAGAATAGATTATTTTTCACATATCTATTAATTTTATAAAGTATAAACGCAATCGGCCATTTCGAATGTGGATTTTGCCAGAACAGTGTTTGTTCACAGTGATCAAGTGCAAAATATCAGTTAAAAGCCGTTACTTTTTAGGTTTTTTATTTTTGCTTGAATGTGCGTTATTTTATTAACAATTTTTTTAAAGATAATTATAATTTTAATGATACCGAAAATTTCACTGATCATTTATACGAATACCTATGGCGGCGAAACAATAAGAAATATAAAAAGACCCTTTTCGGAGCTACTTATAGCAATTAAATATATCTATAAATTAAAATAACACCTTACTATACTCTTATTTTGCTATATTGCTTATTATGCTATACTGCTTATTTTGCTATTTTATTTTGCTTACATATGTTAATTTATTTTTTCATTCACTGCTGCTGAAGAGCTGCTGAAGTGGATAGAAGCCTACTGGCTGCTACCACGACCCGGCTCTACATGCACTATGGATTGGGCCCTGGTGGTTTTAGTGGGTATGGGGTCATCGCATTTTACGACCTTGACCCCCACACTCCCCGCGCCATTCACACTTGCCCAGGCGTGGGGGCCCGTAAGTGGGTTTCCCCAGGTAAAAAAAAAAAAAAATTTTTTTGGTTTCCTAAGCGCAAAATTTGTGGGGGGTGATTACTACACCCCTCCCCCCCCCCCCCCGCACCCCAAATTTAGGGACTTCTCTTTCGAATCGTTACCTCGTAAATAAAACAGTATGTGAATAATACTTACTAACGTATAATAATAATACTTAGAAATCTACATTGACAATCACAACAAATGCATTATACAATCTCTCAAACTACATCACGTCCCCCATATAAACAAAAAACAGCTGTGCTGTTTCCATTGCGGCGGTTAACATCTATCCCCTAGTTCATTGCTCTATACACAGCAGTGTACACCGAATCGTTTTATACGGCTATACAACCACGCAACTCTCGCGAGCTCTAGAAACATCCAGACCATTCGAGAAACGTGAACTTATATAAAAGTGTTTGAGCGTTGCTACGGTGCTCAGTTGTCATTCGTTATTCAGAGAAACTAGTGTTGTGTTATTGTGACTTGTGCAGTGATATGGAATCGCCTGTTGTTTTAGATAAACCGCCGGAGTATCATGGTAGTGAGGTAGGTTTTTGACGATTTAAAATTATTGTAATAATAAATTTAAAAGATTGTTGTTGCCAAAATTAAAATGCTGATTTTTAATTTTGGCTTTCATTATTCGAAGTAAGAAGTATTAGTCGAAGACGTTTACCAATGTGACATGTTCCTTTTACCTTTTGTCATAAAATATTACTTTCTTCCTGTTTAAGGTTCAATTAATTTTATTTCAAAACGGTCGATGTGTCAATTATAATTAAGAGTTATTTTTTTCGATACGAAATCGTAAACGACCCACATCGTGACCAAATCAGGCTTTATCGATTTTATGTATTCTTAATTCTACACCTAATTTGGTGTTTTGCCAAAAAAGTGTGTCATGATGTCGAAATTGAAAATTGTTTGAATTTTAAATCTTACACTTACTTTCAGAAATGCAATTTATTTCAAAGCAAAATAATTCAATTTAAAAAAAGATTTTTTAAATTGTTAATATTTTTATATGTTATAAATTTGTCTATTTGTAGCGTAGAACTTATAAAAATTCGTATCTCATTGATAATTTGTTTGAATTCGGTATTCTTTAAACTTAAATATTGAGAACGTATATATATATCCGTATATCCTTAAAAACGTTGTGTAAAAAAAAAAAAACATGGCGATTAAAAAGAGTGGCGGAGAGTTTATTGCCAGTTCTTCTCTTCCGTTCTACGCCCTTGATTTGAGAACTGGCAGTAAATGTAAAATTAGAAGCATGAATATTTATTTCTTTAATGACGAATCACAAGTGTACATTGTGTTACCTACGTGAATAAATGATTTTTGAATTTGAGAGCGGTATTCTAGACGTTTCGGTTTTACAAATGTTCTTGGATATTTAAAGTTTTTTATGGAGTAACTTTCTTCGTACATAATTAATCCATGTAAACAATTCGCTCTGAGTCACAGTCGCACGCGCAGCTGTTATCGAAATGCCATTTATAGATGTGCGCTCTTAATATTTCAGTAGCGCGACCTTACTACAGGAGGTCATAGATAAAATGTAGAAAGTATTAAGGTCGAACGCATGAAATTATCCACGTAAAATTAAAAAAAAAACAGAAATTTCCACGTTTTTATTTTACAGACTCATGTACCTAACATTCACTCGCTAAAACCCTTTTCTCAATGAGGATAGCCGATGTCATCTAAACGTTGGGTTTTGCAAATAGACAACACACGTATCGCACAATGATAAAAAACAGCTATCTACACGCTTCAAAATGAAAACACCCTTCTTTGTGCGTGAGGTTTAAAAATGTCTAAAACGAATTTCACGAAAGGCTATTTCATTTTTATACGAACTTTTAATAAAATGTTTTCATACATTTAACGTATAAAAATTCGGGGAAATTAAAATTATATTTTATTTCGTATAATGTTGGCCTATATAATATACTAGACCAGTACAAGAAACAAAACGACAAACGCACTCCTCAATCACATAAATATAGATATTGACAAACACAGATAATAATGTACTTTAGAGAACATTTTGCAAGCTTTAAAGTCAAAGCAGGCGCCATACATGAAACACTTAAAATGATAACGCGTTATGTTAATAGTTTATAGGCTCTCAGAGATAATTCGGATTATAATTCAACATCTGCGTTATTTATCGTGGATCTAAATAAAGAACAATTACCGACACGCGCTGTTGCGGAACTGGCTTCTGGTTACATTTTAATAGACCGATAAGATAAATGTGTTTTGAAAGCTTTTTGGAATGCCCGTCTGGAACGTCGAAGTGATTGGGTCTATAACCTAGTGCAGAATATTTTTGCTGAAGGACTAGGCTTCTTTAGTATCTTGGTTGACCGTATTTCGTGATCCAAAGAAAATGTTATTAATAACTTGAAAACGTAATAAATAAAAAGGTGCGACTTACTAGGAAGCAAATGTTTGAGTTATGATATGAAAGTTATATGCTTTCTTAGGCTTTTCAAGAGATTGCGATTTCGTAGCTTACGTAAACACCGAAAGCTATTGAAACGTCGTTAGTCTTCAATCCAAAAAGTTTAACGCAAATTTCTATTGTGTAGATAATCTTCAAATTGTAGAAAGTTATATCTAATTTTTGCACATTAACTGACTGTTTGAACAATTCTAGCTATTCTACATTTTTCAATTTATAAAAATGAAAAAAATATTATAATTGTTGTCGAAGATGTTACATATGGACGTGAAGAAAACGAGGAATATTTTTGACTTTTTACTCATGAAGAAGTTCATATGATTTGTGCGTATTATCATTCTTAAATTTGCAGATGAAAATCAATACAAGCAGGATTTTACAAAAGAAAATACACAAAGCGTACAAATTTGGGTAACCCGTCGAATTTGTAAACATAATCTCAACTTATCTCGATGATGTCATGCTACATAAAAGGAAAAAATATCGGCTATACATAAACGGTGTTAGCTGTTCGAATGCGTCACATTCGCCGCCTACATGACCATTGCATATACGGCAGCTTTACATCTTTCAAAGACTTACGGACTTAATACAAGAGAAAACATTAATCAAACATTTGTTATTTATGTCTTAGCCAGTTCTTTGTTTGGTTGTACTACCGAATATATCCAGGATAAGTACTGTTTAATCCGTAAAATCACGAAGAGAGGTATCTGAACTCCTGAACTTCTATGAATTATTAGAAAATTCTTTACACTAATGCTTGTACTTTGGAAGTGTTAAACTGCAAATTCAATGTAATCACGAGTTAAAGATTTAAATCTGTATCATTTTAATCACCGGACACGTTCATTATGTACAACATGATACCTGTCATATATATTAAGTTCATTAGGATTTTCTGATTGAGATAAATTGTGTACTGATTGCTGTGTTACTTCATATCCGTCGGGTTCTTGTTTCCATAAATGCTGTTGATTTGTTGATACTTTGTGTAGTTTTATGATGACAGTTGCATCTATTATAAGCATACAATGGTGTAATTTTATGATAAATGTACGCGAAGTTAGACCAAAGGTTATGCAGGATATATTACAGGAAATATTGAGATTTACAAGACTACATTTTATTTTATTGTTACTTGTTCTCTGGATCGAACATTTTAACAAACTTAAAGTATACATCAGATTTACTATATGTACAGTTTATTTATGAGCAACCGGTTCTTTTTGCTTCAATACCACATTCGTTAAGATTTTTTCTCGAAGAAAACAACTTTAAAAAATACAGCCTACAAAAACTTGCGTTCTGTTTTAATGAATTTCCGGTCATTGACTTCGTATCGCGTTACACTCGCATATGGTTCGGGAAATACTCGAATTGAGTACTAATTTGATGCAATTAAAATATCAATGATCGATTAATTATATAATGTCCAAAGAGATTAATGATATACTTAATATTATCTTAAGTAATTTCATTAGATGATATTTTGGACAAATAATTGATGACGATGCGGGACAAAAACAATTAAAACAAACGTTACTTCGAATTATGGAGCTTTGTGAAAAAAAAACAAAGTTAATTAAAAGCAAGCATGGCAGAAGTGATGTTGGGAATTTATGTATTCACGCATAATTATTGTTGAAAAAATAGATTTTGGTCAGAAGTTATAGTTTTGGTGACGGAAATGTGTCCTTGCTGTGTGTGGGTGATTCAATCATAGTACCCCGTTCGTTCTGAAATAACGGAGGTAAGACTCCCTATTCGTTAATTCTAAACTTTTGCTGAATATTGTGTATATTCATGGGTGCCACTTAAAGGTCAAAGAATTGTATAGGTAAATATTTACCTATACAATTCTTTGATCACGAGAACAAACACGTGCCACGTCTATTATAACTTTTCGAATTTCGATTGTGGTGTCATCGTTACGTATTTGACATTAGTTCTTGTCAGTCTCTTGCATGATGTCATCTTGACGACTAGTAACTGATTAAAATAACAGCGTTAAATTGCGAATGCATGTTTAGTGAATTGCTTTGCAATCATCAATTTTTTTTTTTTGAATAATAAATCGTAGATTCTTTGCATATAAGAAGTGGTGCATTCTATTTGATTAATTATAAAAAACAGCACAATCAGCCATGCAAATGTCATATTAACTACATGTTATATTATTTATTATTATTATTTACGTTTTTTTAACTAGATGTTCCGTCGTCGTTTTAACTGTATAGCAAAAAGCATAGCTAATATGTAAATGATGTTAATTACATTGTCAATCGTCAAGGCTGCGATTTATGCCTCTCATTTTGTATTGCGCATCGGGAACTGACATAACGACTATAGTAAAAAAATTATATTTGTTCTAAGAGTTTGCAACAGATTTCGAAAGATTTATCTTTTATTTGATAGCAAAGAGGAATTGCTAAATATATTTAGATCTTTCAGCTTAGATATAGGTTGGTACTTCCTTAGCAGTCAGTTTGTGGTTGGTGTTGGTTTGTAAAAATATTATTACTAAACCTCAATTTAAAAAGAAAAAACATTTTAAGATACGTCAGTGCTATAGGGGAACGATACATTGAACATTAGATAGGTTTACTCACTTTATTATAATCGACTATCAAGAACTCTAGGGTAATTATAGATATTATGGAACACTTCTAAGAATTATTCATTTATTAAAAACAGGTGGGTGGTAATGCAAGTTGCAAATTCTGAATCGCAAAATACTAAGAAGGCATTTTAATAAGAATTTAAGTACGTTTGTCATCAAAACACAACTATACTGAGAATTAGAGTTTAATAACATGGTAATTTGTAATAACCATGATTTTGATATATTACCATGATTAGATATTCATGAACTCCGGCATCCAAGTAGGCATAATATTCCTCGCCTTCCTTTTTGGCAGAGACGTTAACTACACATAATAAAAAATTGTATTTTAGAAATTAATAGTGGTTGGTATACATTATCGTATTAAAGTTGTATTGGCCAGACCAGCCTATTTTTTTAAATTGCTAGTAGGCCTACCTCCCCGGCGATTTAAGCCCCGGGGCCGATGAAGCTAAGCTATAATAAGGTATACAAGACAACATGTTTATGGGTTTTAAAATATTTGAATTACGCATGGGTGGTTGAGGGTCAGTTTTGATATTTCATACAATAATTTTCCCTCAACAGCCTGACACCAGCCTATTAGAGTTCTGTGTATAAAGAATATACAATAGTATTTTTTCATTAATAAACAACATCTATAAATACTCGTCAGCCAAGTTAGGTCTGCCACAATTAAGTTTTATCTCTTACAACTTTATTCAATAAGCCACGAAAGTACTTGGTAAGGTCGTCTCTTGGCCTCACCTGCCATATTTGGTTAGCTCTTCTCGATTACAAGTTCATTGGACAACACTTGATTCGAGATTTGATTTGCATATAATCAACGATTTACATTAAATTAATATAACTTTAATTCGATTGATTGAACGAAATCTCATACATGCTGTTAGTCGTTTAATTTTGGACGGAGTTTTGAGTAACTGCAGATCAAATAGTTATTAATTTTAATGCATGTGAAGCAATATTATAATGGTTTGTCTACACTGGTCCAACTTAAATCAATACGACTCTTGCAAACAACTCAAGTAAAAGAGAATTAAACATTACAGCGTGGTTTCCCGTTTGACGAGGAGGACGGTGCATGGAGTGAACTTGCCTCGCGACATCCCGACATAGCAGCGCGTCTGCGACAGCGACCAGCCACCTGGGCCAGAAAGCGAAGACCCTCCAGTCAGGACGCCACTGACGGTATGATTCTTATTATTCACTCTTATTAACTTGCTACTGTTCACACATTAATTAGGTGCAATACCACTGGCGCACAAGTAACTGGTGTCCATGGGTGGCGGCCTTACAATATCAGAAAAAAGGGTGCTTTCGAAAGTATGTTTTTTTATATTAGGGAAAAATACTCATAAGGCATTGAGCATATACTTCTAAACTGGTTTACTAGCACTAGTAGTGCTTGAGTCTAGAACGATATTGTTGATCAAATTTGTCCTGTTTCACAAGTTTTTCAAACAAGCGTTTCGTTATTGCAGATTTTGGTGACAGCTTCGGCGGATTCGACAGATTTCCATTCGACGATATCCCGTCAGAGTTTAGAGAGCACTTCCCTTCACATTGGAATCGTAGGTTTAGTTCTCGTGAAGAACAACCGACTACGCCGACACATCAGCAACAGCCGCCGCAGCAGCAAACCGCAGCCACACAAACAGAACCGAAACCCGGACCTTCAGACCACGAAGAGCAGCAATTACCACAATACGGTCTAAGGAACACGGTCGACCTCGGCCAAAAGAGCCCAGCTGATCCTAGTTTAGTTGATGCTGAAGATAGAACACACAGGTCTATGTCAGCGCCGCCAGACAACAGATCCGCGAACAAGATGAGTGGACAGCACCAAGACCACTCTCCCCAGCAAGAACAATCCTCCAATGTCCGGCATATTCCTATTTTTGTCGAAGGCAGGGATGAGCCAGTCATCAATAAAACAGTAGACCACGGAACCCACTTTGGCGAAACGAAGCAAACTTATGTCCCTCCACCGCAACCTCACATCGATAGAGATCAATATTTCGCAGACGACACCCCGCATGGATTCCACCATCCGCCAAATTTCTCAAGAACATTCGGTACTCCGTTTAACAAAGGCTTCAGGCAAGGCCCTCAGCCTTTTAGCCAGCAAAAGATGTATCCACAAAACGCGTTCACGCGCGGCGCATCGCCTCAAAGATCTCAGTCACCGAAGCCTCAAACGCATCCAGAGGAACCCTTCGTGAAAATGCCGGTCTACCACGAGCAGTCTGCGCCTCAGTCCAAGCCTCAGCCTAAGCAGCCATCTCCGCAGCGCGCATCTCCATCTCCCAAACCCCCTCAACAGGCTCCGCAAGCACCACCAAAACCTAAACCGCAGCCCGCTGCAAACGATCCCATCACACAAATCCTTAGTATTCAATCCGACGTTCTAAATCTTATGACGGAAGTCGAAAACTTCTCTGGGACTAAAACTGATAAAAGATATGTTTACCTAGATGAGATGTTAACTAGAAATCTCATAAAGCTAGACAACATCGAAACGGAAGGCAAAGAAAATATACGACAAGCTAGAAGAGAGGCGATTAAATGTATACAGAAATGTATAAATGTTTTGGAAGCTAAAGCGGAGCAAGGCAGCGCCCCTCCACAACCCCAAGTCGTGGACATGCAAGCTACCGCAGACAATGCAGCTGAACAAGAGTCAGTACTAAATGGTGATGTAGAAATGAAAGAAGCTCCACAAGAAGAAGTGAAGGCTAAGCCCCAAGTTGAGCAAGTACCTCAGTCTCAATCACAAGAAAAAGAAACATCAGAACCTGAGAAAACTATGGAAACTGGACCTATCACGACTGAGCAAGCTCCTGTAAAGAGTGAGAGTACTCAAAAGATGGAATCTTCTCCAGTAGAGGTAGCTTCTTCCCAAACTCAACCTGAAGGTGAAAAGGCCCAACTGGAACCTATGAAACCAGAACCACAACCAGATGTAACAGATACGCGACCGATTGACACCAAAACCCCCGAACCAGAAATGAAGCCTGAAATTATAGAAGTTGAAAAGAAAAGTCCTAAAAAGGTCACCAAAGTCATTAAAAAACGTGACAAAAGCAAAGACAAAACAGATAAAGATGCGAAAGATACGGCCAATAAAGAAGCTGTAACAGATAACAAGCAACCAGATAGCAATAAGCAGGAGAGCATAGATAAAATTGAAACAAAGGGAAACGGAGATTGTATGGAAGTAGATGGTGGTGCTAGTCAATAAATTATTTTTCGTTAGCGAATTCTTGTAGGAGGGATAGTTGCACTGGCCTAATCACCTCTTGTGTTTGCCTACACCAGTGTTGCAACATGTATTTATGTTTGTAAAATATTTTAAGTTTCTAATATTGTGATGCAGATGCTATCCACTAGGATTTGATCGCCTGTTATTTAAATCCTAATATAATAAATAATTTATTGTTTATCGTATGTGATAACATTTTCTCAATAAACTATACCTTTTAAATAGGTCTTTTATTTTTTAAATCCCCATACCTCTTCTGCTCATTTTAGCACTTAGAATTAGGTTTAAAAAAGAAAACATACATTTTAACTATTATTTATATTGGATAATTAAATACACAATATAAGATTACATAGATGAGATAATGATCTTAAAATAATAATATACCTTATATTAGTTTACAATTTAAAATACATTTTATATTAATAGATACAAATTATTTACAAATGTTACAATATTTCCAGATTTTTAAATTCCTTGACTCAGTCTTTCCCTCCATATTTTTCTTTGGTTTACATTATAATTGTCCTTTTATGGGAGAGTTGATTTTTTTATAGATTAAGATTCCACATAATTCAGAATTCTAACTGACATTTTTCTCATATAATATCTCATTTTAACTTTTCATACAATATCTGAACTATGTTATGCAACAAAGATTCCGATGCTTACAATTCTTTTAGAATTATTGGCTAACGAAGGTTTCTTGAAAGAAATACTATTGACTCTATAGTAGAAAAAGTTTTCATGAGAAGCTTTAGTTTTATAAAATCTGAATTTCCGTAATGGCATTATATGCCTACAAATTGAAAACCACACTTCTTTTACCAGAAATAGAACCAAGGACCTCCGCGTATACGCTGTGTGACTGAACCAAAAAGCCACATATGAGGTAAACCACCTAGAAATAGCGACAACCAAATGTATGAAAATTCAAAAGCGTTCATTCCCATTCCTTCATAACCCGATCCCAATCTTGATCTGCAATGAATGGTTGATCAATACTGGCTATCATATGTTCTCCACAGAGCACACATTCACTAGCCACAATGTCGTCTATCTCACTCCGAAGTACTTCACGTAAGGGGAGTCCGCTAGATGTCACTGTTGACAGTTCAACGTTTGACAAGACTGCTAGTTGTCGTTGGAGATCCGTTAATTTGTTGCGACGCGCGGGGGCTGTGTAAGTACAAAATACCAACATTTATAAATTTTAGTTTTTTTAGACCAAGGAGAAATTACGTTTGCTATTATAACTACAATTAATTATAAATAAATTTATAAACTTGGCTCTAATATATATACGATTTTATTTTATACCACGCTAATACTTCATCAAATATGATCTGCGTGTGAGATGGAGTTTAAGAATAAGATTCCGAAACGCAACTTAGTGTGACATGAGTCATGTCAAAATCTAATAATGTTTCTGACGTCCAAAAGTCAGACTTGCGCTAAACTAAAAGCTAAGCTGACCTCTAGTGCCAAGAATGACATGAAAGTGGTATGTCAAAAATTAAAATTATCTTTGAAATTTAGCTCGACATTTCGCTCTGTCTAATTGGACCCTGAATCGTATTTACATAAAACATACCAAGGATAGGCTGCGCTTGCGCAAGAAGACAATCCGTATGGAAACGATGAGCGCACGGGAACAGATAGAAAGGCCGCAACAACAACGCGATGTCACACACGCAGCATACGTCTGTCACCGAGACTAGTACGCTACGATTACGGAACGATTGTATCTCATTGCGAACCTGGGAAAGTAAATTGTCAATCAAGATATATTTTTAAAACTTTAGAGATTTCTAGAACCAAAATTAATCGTTAAAGTTTTAGATTGTACAATGACATCTTTTGATGTCATAATACAAATCACGCTTAATATGTTTCCTGAAGACTGACTGAATTTCTGTGATACAATTGAATTATACGATGTTTTCTTAAAAATTACGAAGTTCCAGTGTCTAGTTGAGAACTTTCTTCAAGAGGACAAGGAGGATGTCTCTTAGTATTGTCTTTGATTTACATAACCTTTACACATTTAAAGAAAAAAAACTGTTTGACCGGATTGAAGTTATGTATTATTATAAATTTACAACTATTTTACATAATTTTAAATTTATCCGACGTTTCGCGTGCTTTACAGCGTGCGTGGTCACGGTGACTATAATAATACATAACTTCAATCCGGTCAAACAGTTTTTTCTTTAAAGGATGTCTCTTATATTAAATTTAATGGAATATGGAAAATTTAAAAAAAAATACTTTATACAACTTACACATTCCGCGGATTTCGTGGCATCCTCCATTTCAAGCTTCAACTCCTCTATTTGATTGTTGTATTCCTAAAATGTATATCAATTTTATTAAATTGAGTCTAATACTAATAGTGATTGTAAAATTTTATTAACACAAGTTATGTAACCTAACATTAGTTAAGTTACATATATATATATTTTATTAAATAAGTAGAAACGTAAAAAAAATTAAGCAATCATCGCACACTTGAAGCCAAAATGAGCCCTTTAGAAACTGGCCAGATTTTTTGTGGTGGGGAAAATTTCGCGTATATATTTTTAATAGGCAAGAAGATTACCTACTGCGCATCTAAGAATTATTAAACAACACTTACAACAACTTATTAAAGCATTTTTAACATACCTCTAAAGACTGGCAGATAGGTTCACTAAAGTGATCAATGGTGGTGACGTCGCTGAAGAACGGAAGTATATCCTCAATCTTGATAAGAGAACATTCTTCTAACAATTGCATCGCCTCTTTTATATCCTGGTTCTTTGTTATTATGTGTTCAGCTGCAAGTGTATTTAAAAATAAATATTTTAGTGACGATTTACCAGACATTTCAAGTAATAGGCTTGCGTGGTAAAAAATTAATATGGGATAGCGAAAAATACTTGAAGTTATGAAGATTTAAATATTAGTGAAAATTTAATAACACTCATTTCTTTCGACACGAACAATTTATTGGAGAATAAGTTTTTCACTTTAGGGATCGTTCAAGTATTACGTCACGCAATTTTTGGAGATTATTGACCCCCCTCCCATGTAACGCACCGTAACGTTTTCTGTACCCAATAGTAAAACGTTTCCACCCAGTGACTCTTTATACCTAAAGTTACCTTTATGATGTGTAAAGTACTGGAAAGTCGAAAATAATATTAATAAAAATAACGCGTAATTCAATCCCCGCCCCGCATTGTAACGTTTTACAAAAGGACCCCCTCCCCCCAAAATTCGTTACGTAATACTTGAACGCTCCCTTATCTAACGAGTAAAGGAAAGTTATTAAAGATAACGCACGAAACTTCTATATCAAATTGTAGATATAATAAAATCTGTTTAAAAAGCTTGTGACAAAAAGTGTAACTTAAGTATGGGTTTAATTAAAATATACTTTTGTATATTACACTTTTGTTTTGCCTAAAATGTTTACAAATTTGTATTCATTATAATCAACACAGAAATATCAAAATCGGTCCAACCAAAGGAAATTTCAGAGTAAATGCAAATGGTACGAAGATAAAATAGAATAACAAGTATCGGTTTTGAGACTTACCCACACTAAGCCACAATCTCTTCTGCAAGCTAACATCTTCCGGCATCGCAGCCACAGACTTTGCGAGAGATATATCAACCTGTAGAGACAATTCTAGCGCGGCCTCCCAGAGTCCTAGCAGAGCTGATAAAGTGACACACGCCTCTGATAAACCGTTCTCACGACACAGACTAAAATCGTATGAAAATTTCTTTAGTTTATTTTAAATATTTATAATCTGTGCGGGGGTTTTTTCATTTAAATTTAGGGGGTACTTTATAAGAGTATTTTTTTTCAAAGAAACGCACTATTATATACAACTTATATTAAGCCTAGAACCCAACCAATAAGCTAACCCAAAATATATAAACTCCTAAGTGATTATAAGTGAAAAATCATAAATAGCAATTTTATACTACGTATGTCTTTTTGTTGTATATTTGAAATTACCTCTCAGCCCAAGCATAAAACGTATTTGAAGTTAGTTCTAGGAGGAACCCTCTGTTGCAGTTGGCATGTACCTATTTGAGGTCGCAACCTCTTTTTTATGTTTACAACTGTACATAGTCATTATAATTCGGCAGTAATCTTTTTTTTGTGAATAAGGGAAATATCGTGTAGCAAAAAGGTATAATATCAATTCACATAACCTCCACAACGGTTCTCTCTCACTGATCATCTACATATATCTTACATACTCAAAAAACGTTGCTTTTTATAATTGAGCTACCGTTGAGAATGTTCTTCACATAAGAATACTGTAAAAAAATATATATACGTACCGTAATGCGTAATGCACGTCATAATTCACCATAGTGATATCCCGTCCCTGTCGTGACAAATACCGCATCAAAGCGGGTTTATCCGTTTCAACGTATAACGTGAATAGATAATTATGTATTGCTTTATCCTTCACGTTGAAATTCTGCAACATAAATTCTAGATATCGTGTTATCTCCGATGCGTGCTTGTCATCATTTTCACAGGATAAAAACGCGGGAAGCAATTTAGAGGGACTCAACTTTGCTCCTTGCGAAATCAACGCATTCACTGTCTCTGTTGGAGTCTCTTCCATTAATACTGGTGCAAATTGATAAAATAACTCGGGTTTCTTCAAAGATTGCAGCATATTCAACGCCTCCTGATATGACTTCTTATAAATATGTTGAGCGACTACATTTTCGTAATCCTCATTAATAACCGTCAGTTTGATAAGATTCTGTTTGTCCCCATATGAGGACAGTAGGTCATACACAACTGATTTTACATGTTGCATACATTGTACCACTTTTGGTTGAAGAAGAAACACCTCTAAATCACTCTGAAATTGATGGTATTCTTGAGAATTATCCTTTCCTGAGCGTCTCAAAGACGCTAGCTGTGATACATACAATTCAGTCATCCAAATCACTATCATAGAGATAAGTGTCTTATCGTCATCAGTTAAGGCATCTAATCGTTTGCTCAGATATACTTTTAAAGCATTAATCTGATGAACTTCTAGAAATTTGAGGCATATTGTTTCAAAACTGCTTTGAGTTTCCGCAAAAATCTCTGCGCTCTTTTCATAGTCACCCTTTGTGAATAGCAAGTCCGCTTGTTTGACGTTTATGATGTCTATGTAAGCTGGGTTATTCTGGCAATACAGCTTAGCAAGATCAAACTGTTCTTTATCAGAATAAATTCGCCAGACATTTCTATCTTCTCTATTAACCTTATATCTAAACACGGCTTTGTCGGTAACGGCCCAAATGGTACGTCTAACAGAATCTTTGACAATGTTTTTTAGCTTTCCGTGTACTTCTGAATTATACCGATCTTCATAGACAAGCTCTTGATTGAGAAGAGACACACTCTTAACTCCATCAGAGTACATGACTAAAGCATGAAACTCGGTTAATACAAATGACAAGGGAGTTGATTCTTTTCCAGCACCTTTATCAGTAGGATAATTGATGAGTTCACCTTGTGTAAATAGAGAATTAGAGTTTTGTTGAGATGAAGGATCCAGCTGTGTAGAAAAAATTATTTCTTGAAAAACAATTTTACATAAAGTATACACGGACATAACTTGACCACATATAGATTATTTATTACTAAATGCATTGGTAATCTATATATATATATAAGAAAAACAACAAATTATAAAATTGTTGTAGTAATTAAAAAAAGCTAGTTATTTTGTGTTGAAATTGTCTGTGATGCATAATATTATAGTTTAAAATATTACCTGTCCATAAAATATTCCTGGTTCCGTAAGCCATGCAAAAGTTTTAGGTTCATTGCTTTTATCAAAATAAAACTGTAGCTTGGAATACTTCAATGTGGATGGAATTTCTTGAAAACCAGTTTCTGGAGTTGTCAGATAAGAGTGGAAAATGGATTGTAGGGATGGTTTATCATCAGAGATCATGGCATGGCCTATAAACTGATAGAGTCGAGTTGGTGTGGTAACAAAAATAAAGTATTTGCTTGTGTTGTTTACTCTGTGAAATTGTATACCAGTAATTGGTGTATCAGTTCCTTTGCCAATGTCAAAAATCTGTAAAATAATATATTTATGATTAAGTAATTTGAATTAAAAATTTTCAAATTTAATTGTGATATCAAGTAACTCATGGAATGAAAAGATACATTTTTGTATCAGTTTCACTAATCATTATTCTTATGCCAATGAGATCAAGTTGGTGATCTACATTCCTTGTCTACCAACCCATAATTATTGCTTCACAAAATTTTTGAATAGACACACATAAATAAACAACTTTTACAACAGTTTAGATTAATAAATTAAATTATTATTCAATATTTTTTCATTTTATTAATTTATAAAAAATCTGTATCTCTTTTACCAAACCATCAATCTCCTTTCCTCCATACAGTGGTAAATAATTGGGTAGCTTGGAAAAAATAATCAATAATTAGTAGAGATAAATATATTATGTATTTCATTGATAGCGTTGTGTTTTAGTTATTTAAATATTTTATAAAATAAGCTATTATATTTATTTATTTATTATAGGGGATAAGTATGTCTTTCAATATGCATATAATAATTTAATAACAATCCAAAATTAATTGTTTAGTATTATAATACATAATTAACTGTTATAAATACTATAAAATTTTGTATTTATTTTTTAATATTTAAAATTTATAAAAATTAATAAATATTTGTGTTTTATGTCATTTATGATATTTTTAGATCTTATTATTGAGTAATTACTCATACTCATAATGATGGCCCATTTATAATTTAAAAGGTATGTAAATATATAAATATGTACCTGTCTCCAATATTGCTGGCTAGCAGTAAACATTTTATCACTGTCAGCTTCTAGCTCCATCTCCAGTATGTGTCCTTGAGATGTACCAAGTAATATTGGCCCTGTAGTTGATGTAGATCTATTCTCATAATTCCAACCAACTTCTGTTACTTCATAGTTTCTTGATTTACTTACAGACTTCAATTTAGTACTCTTGCGATGAAGATAAACCAATTCTGGGCTACCATCTTTATTTCTAGCTGCAAAGGCTAGTAGTAGGTGGTAACCCAGTGGATCAAGAAATATTGCTGTTAATCTAGAATTTGGTTGAATGATCTTCGTGTATTGAATTTCTGAAACAATGGGTCCATTATGTAATTCATATTTTTTAAATTTTGTAATGCTGTATAAGATGGGGATGCAAAGAGACTAGAAAGCTGACAACAGATACATAAATTATAGTTTTAAGCAAGATAAAAACACTACTTTAGGAGTTCAATTAGGACGAAAACCATGTATAAAAAATTATTATAAGGTAAAGTAAAATTATAGTAAAATGGTAAATTGTACCTTCTTGTTGATCAGGCATTTTTAAATCCATCCGAAACAATTTTCCATTGGCCATAGCTAAAACTAAATAGTCACTTGCAACTGCTACATGAGTAATCAAGTCTGAAGGATTAAAATTCATCCTCTGTTTGGAAAAAAGGGGTGTATTGTCTTCAAGCTGCATATTGATGTAACCCGATGAAGTCATTTGCTCAGAAGCTGGAACTACTTTTTGAGATACTTGAGATGCCTGCTCGTACTGGTCAAAAATCGATGTCATACTTGTGAATGTATTGAGCTGATGATTATATTACAATTCCAAACCTATAGAAAATCTATTAATTCAACAGCACATATTTTTTTTTAAATAAACAACAGGTTTCTGATTGTGTATTGATATTTGATAATTTGGTAATTGAAGTGACATTTCAAAGATTGCAAAATTAAAAAGATGAATTTAATTGTTAATTGTCAACTGCCAGACGGGATATTTGAGTTATATTATGTACTTTAACTTGAGCAGCAACTATCAATGTCAAAATTTGTTAATTCATTTGAAAACATACGAATTTGTGCGTAGTTTTTTAGTGCTAACTGCTAATTATTTCATTGTCTTATTTTATTAATTAACTCCATGCTGGATAATAAAAGGCTAGGCCAAGAGTATTAGGATATTATTTTATATGAAAATATCAACAAAACAATATCTGTAAAAAATGTAAATGCAAGTAGATTTTATTTATAAATTGGGCTTGCCCTTGAATAATATTATCATATCGTATTCAGTATTGTTTAGACTTTTCACTTTAGCAGTTGAACGGTGATTGTAAAGGGAGAAGTACGTACATAAATAAGAGATGGCTACAACTGCATTAAACAAATCAACTAAGGCCAGTATGTATTTTTTTTTAATGAAAATATATTAGTAATTTTATTTTATTTTTTTATATTTAAAACAATATATTGTCATTTCTGGAGTACATTTAAAGTAATTATGTAATAATGAAATTTAACTTAAGAAATAACGTTTAAGAGGGTTGTTTTTAAGCTTAACGAAACAGAAACATTTATTGTTTCTATGTAAGTGCTGATTGATTCATGTCACACATTGATTCTAGTCAAATTGATATGTCAACTGTATTATATTAACCTTATTAAATAATGCCAGTTACTATTGAATGTGTTTGTAAGATTTATATTAATTATTCTTGCTATTAGTATATCTGTATGTAATTAAAATCCTATTAGATTTACTGTATTGTTGTCTTGTTATGTTAAAGTAAAATGTTTTTATTATTTTAATTTTCTATGTTTTAGTTATATTGGTAAGCTGCACCAAGAGACTAGCAGTCAGATATTTTACTACTCAGCTTACAGAAAAGCAATTAGATATCCAAAAGACCGTTAGAAACTTTACTAATGAGCAACTAAAACCTTATGCAGCTAAACTAGATAGAGAGGGAAGATATCCTTACAAAGAGGTAACTTTTCATTTGACATTTCTGTATTTAAAAACAACTTGAATATTATATTTTATTTTAATGACATAATTCTTTCCATACATTAGTCTTATTTGTGAATGATATCAATATTAAATAATAATATGTACAATATTGATATTCCACAAGTGATAATGACAATGTCTTAATGGTATTCGTAAACTTTTAAGATGTTTTAAATATTCTGTAAATATAATAATTCAGGTAAAGTTCAAGGCAACCGTTAAAAGCTGTCCTACCTTGAGCTACAACAACATCAATGTTTAAGGATTCTTTTTTAATGTAGCTTTCTTGTACATCAGAAAATCCTACCTAAAGTCTTAGCTTAGAAAACTAGCTATGTTTGCTTAAGATATGATGTAATGGATGGTAAGTGTTAATAATATTGATTGAAATAATATTAGTATGTTATTACAGTTGATATAAATACCTAAATAAAATGTTATTAGTTTATCTCACCTTTATGTAACTGATAAACCATTTTGTAGTTAGATAAAAGTGTATAAAAAATTTTGATAACAGAGAGATAACTTCAATGTTTTTTTGACTATTGTCAGTCAGCAAAAATAAACACAATTGATCCTCTCTCACACCTCTGCCGCGCATTCTTCGATCTTACTGCTATAAGTTACTAATTAGTTAAATGTGTCTATTAAAATTGAATTTATTTTCTAAGCTTCCAATAGTGGCACTATCAACTAACAAATCCGAAAGACTTAAGATTAAGATAAAAAAAAGAAAGACTAGATAAAAAGCATTTCATTCAATAAACAAGTTGGGAGTGCAACAAATCAAAATCTTTAATCGCGAGTTAAGTTCGGTGGCGGTTGTCGTATTGATATGTTCAAATATATTGTTACGAGCTAGGGGATCGGATAGAAAATGCCGTAGATCTCTTCAATGGTTTATTTTTAAATAAATCAGTGAGGAATTTGTTTATACTAAAAGCCGCAAATAACGCGCAGAAATGCACAAATTATAAACACAAAATACAGTCACTAATTACTTTAATTACGCGCACTTCACACAGTACTTTATCACTTGTCTCCACTAAGTTCGCAATTTATCTCTTCGGTGTTTATCTCTTGAAATCGCATTTGAAACTGAATTAATTGTTCGCGTTTCGGCTTGCTTATATATCCCTGGGAATAATCTTGAACGATGTTCGAGAACTCTTTAGGCGGGATTGTACTCGTACGCCTGTACTGTAATGTACGACGAGTCGTACGGCGTTCTACAGTGTTCAGCTTTGCTTCGAGAAGCGCCCGATCTTCCTTCACTCTGGCGTATCATTCCGTCCTTGTCCCACAACTAGAAAATTCGGTAGAATATTCCTTCATCAAAGGGGTATAACTGGTCCTGAAAACGCCTAAAAACGGGTTTCCTGAAAACTGGACCACTCGACTACACATATTCTGAAACTGTCTGAAAAAATGTTTTAGACTCCTGAATCCTAGGGTAACATTATGAAAATTACAATTTTATAGTATGTGATTGCCCTCTACTGAAACGGTCAGAAATCACATTTCAGCCTGCTGAAAAGTTCTCTAACTAGTAGAAAATCTAGAAACATTGCCGTCATCCCGTCTTCGTAACAATATGTTAAATTAAACACTGTGTGAAGCTGGGTGTCAACTGACTGATCGTTTAATACATGAGCTTATAACTAAGATAAAATTAGGGGTTGCGACGCTGGATTAACAAAACACAATTGGTAACATTTTGTTTACGCTTCTAATTATTAACTAAAAAATATATATATATGTAACTTAACTAATGTTAGGTTACATAACTCGCGATTTCCGAAATGTCTTCTTTTTGGAGTGATGCCTTTGTATTAGCTGGGGAGCCCAAAAGGGGATTTCGGGATTTACTACAGCGTGGCAGATTAATTAATATACAGGGAGATACCTTGTATCCGTTTAAGTACCTGTACCAAGTATAAGCCCCATATATATGGCCGCCCGTCAAGGATAAAGGATCAGATTAGTAAAAAAAATTAATCATCAGACTTTCTCGAGCGCGTCAGATTAAGGTATGGTGAGTTAATTACATGCTAAGAATAGTCTAGTCGACAAGTTGAAAATGGTACAAAATAGAGATACTGCTCTTAAAATTATGTGCGATAGCTCATTGGATCCGGAATGACGTCTAGAAAAATGTGCCAAAAGCGTGTATTAGCACATAAAAAATTGCATAACAAAGTATAGAATTTTTTTTTTAATTTTTTGATTATCATGAATATTACTTTTATTGAAATTATTTTTTTTTCTATACTTTGTTATTATATATGGTTGTTTTTGTTAATTTTAGAAGTTTTAGAAAAAAAATAAAAAAAAGTTGAAAATTTGTTTATAACAAATTGGTAAGTTAATAAACAATAGAATTGTTGATAACAAAATATATTTTTTTTGTTACTTTATAGAGGACTGTCAATTATGATTTTTAGAAAAAAAAATTCTTAACTAATTATTTAAACAGAAAAATATAAAAAAACGATTATAAACAATTAAAAATTGTTATTAAGAAATTTTTTTTAAAAAAAAAACATAATATTTGTAATGTAATAAAGTTGTGAAATTTTTTTTTTAAATCAATAAATATCTTGTATTAATAAAAAACGATAATATGATGATTTAGAAAAAAAAATTTTTTTAACAACACGGATTTTTTAGTTTTTGTTTAAGTAAAAAAAATTTTATAAACAAAGTATAAATATTTTTTAACTTTTATGGCACGATCTTGTTAAGTATGTATGTAAGAAAGGCTCTACGAAGCGAAAAATTTTTACGACCATTATTTAAACATTTTTTTTCACTTACAATTAAGACGGTAGTTCGAGAAAATTTCTTTAGTTAACAATTGTTTAACTTGTTGAAAAATTAACTAACCAACGGGAATAAATTAATTATAGTGTTCAGAACACACCATAATTTTTTCAAATTTAAAAAAAATATTCAATACCTTAAATAAATTAATTAATGTGCCGTACTCGCTTTTGACGCCACGCGCGAATCCTAAAAATGTCACGCGCAGACCTATTTTCAGCGTTAAATTAAAATTATAAATAATGGAGATAGAGTTCCAGGAGTTTTTTTATTGGATATTTCCTCCTCTTTCAGAATCTGCTTTTGAAATATCTTAAATATTAATAGTTTATTAAATATTGGCAAAAAACTAAATGCCATTTTTTTTCATCTTTAATTGTTTATAACTTTTGCAATTTTTATGTGCTAATACACGCTTTTGGCACATTTTTCTAGGCGTCATTCCGGATCCAATGAGCTATCGCACATAATTTTAAGAGCAGTATTTCTATTTTGTACCATTTTCAACTTGTCGACTAGACTAGAAGTGTATATTTCACTAATCTGACAATTTACAAGTAACGTAAAGAAAGGGGAGGGCTGCAAAGTTGTAGAAAAACGTCACCTCGACATTCTCGAGCGTGGCTGATTTTTTTTTATATTTTGAAGGAAATAATTCAAGGATGACGAAAAATATATAATCTGTCGATTTCCACAAGCCGATGTCAGAAAAAAGTTTAATAGGTGCGGCTGCGTCATGACTAAATTAGTTTAAAAATATTAACTATGATTATTATTTACATAAAGTGTGTATTTTCTGGTTAAACTACTTTGCAAAAATCAATAAAATTTACATTATAAATATTAGAAAAATTTATAAATATTTAAGAATATCGTCGAAGTAAACCGGTTCTTCCGGTTAATTTTCATTTTAAGAATTTTTTTTTAAATTATTATATTATATTATAAATACAAGTTCTACTTGAACAACATACACTTTTTGCTTTTTTCAGAGCTTATCAATCAATTATGTTCAATGATAAAAAAAAAATATTTTTTAATTGTCAGATTATGAGACAGCACATCTAGGAGACAAAGATGAACCATATATATCTTAATCTGACGCGCTTGAGTATGTCAAAATGGCGATTTTTTTTTGCACATACTTTTAATGACCGCAAGTTTACGTCACATCCAAATCGTCAGATTATTAGATGAGAGCTTTTTTTAGGTTCACTTAGAAAATCTGACGCGATCGTTAATTTTTTTCATTTTCAATTCAACCCTAACGTACGACCACCCCCACCATGCAAACAATCAGATTAACATACGTTCATATATTATTAGTACGTAATACATGTATGCTATCAATATCTGACGCGCTCGAGTATCCATGGCACAAGTTTTTTACATTTATGAAAGTCTATAGCCGCTCCCCCCACCGATGAAAAGGTATACATTATTTAACATTTTTTTCATATAATTATCTAAGCTTCGCAACCCAATAGGTCTCTATGACGCTCGAGTAAAGCCCCATTTAGCATCGTGGGCTCCCCTACTATATTACTAAGGGTGCAATAGGATCTCCGAGTTGTACACCGTGTTCCTTAACTGGGCATACCGGAGTTATATTCATTTATTATTTATCTAAACATTCTATTACATATTATTATTGCTATTTGTAGCGTCAACAGAAAATTGAAATTAAATTTTTGGTTTACCGTCACACATGGACATACATTTTTGTTGTAATGAATATGACATATATATATATTTAACTGATGCTCCAACTGCTCTTACTTTAAATTGCATATTTAAACTACTGAGTAAAATACAAATTTTCAACAATGCCACGGAATGTACTTATGTTTCGATGTTTATATTCGTGACTCATAATGTTACGAACTTAAAAAGGAATTAAAATTCAGTATTCTTTAAATAAATGACTGTATTTTTATATATATACGGGTGAATCCTTGAACAAAATGATGTTTTATTAGATAAAGAAACTGGCCGACGTTGGATTTATGGGGGCATGTGTCGATCCAGAATATGGAGGTTTGGGATACGACTATCTTTCTTTGGCACTCGCTGTTGAAGAAGTATCCAGAGGGTGTGCCAGCACGGGCATGCTGCTGTCCATACACAACTTCCTCTACGCTAATCTGGTGAACGAGAAGGGTACACCAGAACAGAAGGAAATGTTCTTAAGGAATTTTACCCAGGGATGTATTGGTTGCTTCGCGTTAAGTGAGCCTGGTATGTTCTTGATATTAAAAGGTTGCTTTTATTGTAAATACATTAAGGTATGATAAGATTGAGACAATTATCTAAAGATAATCTTTGTATGTGTGCCTTTAAATGTCATGGACATATATACACATGTTTGCATCCAAAGTATATTTATCTTGAACACTCACAATCGACATATCAAACAAAAAAACATTTAATAATATATTACTTGACTATTATAGTATCCCATTCTGGGAAAGTCTTTTATTAAGATTGTTCTGAAGTCCAAAATAATATGAACAGTATTTTAGACATACATACATGGGTTTTACAAATAAATTCAATCTTTACATTACAAAACAAATATAGAAATTACAAAATTTTCAGACGCCGGCAGTGACGTAGCAAATATCGGTACAACAGCAACAAAAGATGGTGACCACTGGATTATTAATGGCAAGAAAAGCTGGGTTACATCAGCTATAGAAGGCTCAGCCACTGTTGTGTTCGCGACATTTGATTCAGCGCTGAGACATAAAGGAATTGTTTGTGAGTGAAATTTGATCTATTAAAGAGTTATATAGAAAAGTATTATGTATAATTAATAGGTTGTCTGGTTCTGATAATAATGCATAATATTTGGAATATGACATATGACTTTTTATTAATAACGAAATGATTACTCTTCACACGTAAAAAAACCTAAAAGATTAATTATTTATGATTATGATTTTGAAAATTAATTATTATTTTTTTTTTTACAAAAAATAAATGATAAAACATATGAGAAAGCAGAAATAGCTTAATAATAATTTACCAAATACATTAAAAGATCTTCCTATTAGAGTTTTAGAAAATCGACGAAATGTACTACTTTAAAAAAAATCTTTTTATATTATTTGCGTGACACATTAATATTAATTTGATAACGTATTAATAATATTTTAATAATGTGATGTAGTGATAAAATAATTGACTATAATATGACTCATAATGTATGTAACGTCTATGAAAAATTTCTTTTAAGACAAATTTGCACGCTATTATGTGTGGCAGGATATGCGACCATTACATTTTACCATTTTTTGCAAATAAATTATTATTATTATTAGAAAAGCAATATAAAACTTGATATACTATTTAATTTTTATTAAATATGACACATCATAATACCACACGTATATAAAGACTTGTACGAGAAGATCGTACGTGGCCCTGAAATGTGAAAGAAATGAATATTTTTCCAGCATAGATTTATATCGTTAGATAGGCCCCGACACCAAAAACTGTGGCATTGTTTTTGAATGTGTGCGTTAGCAAAATGCCGACACACGCACACTAACGAGTAGTTAAAAAATCGTGTTTCTGCCATTGTACTTATCTGTTGTTATTACCTATGTACTGAGAAAATAGTGTCATCTCTTTTTCTCCTACATTAGTTGCAAACACTACTTTCTCTTTCGTGCACTCGCCATTTAAATTTGTTATTTTAGACAGTGCGGAAGGAAAAATAAAAGTTTTTAAATCAAATCGCAATACTTACGAGTGAAATGTTACACCTCTGGCTTTATTTGTGTTTCTAGAATTGTTGTTGCACTTTAGAAAGGCACACGATGGCATTTTGTGACACTAAACTGCTCGCAAACGTCCTTTACAACACGTCCGGCTAACACTGTGTTTAGGGGTGCACTGATCCCAGGTTAGTGAGCTCACTCACTTCGACTGTGGAACAACACGGCGCGGTCTCACTGCGGTAAGGGCCTATCTAACGATATAAATCTATGTTTTCCAGGTTTTCTAGTTCCACTGGACTGTGAGGGTGTTTTTCGTGGTAAGAAGGAAGAGATAATGGGTGTAAGGTAATTTCCAACATTAATTTCTTTTACTGTCTATTAATTCTCATTTCTGATAAACAAGCTAGGTTTTTATATTCCATAGTTGCTCCCTTCACACCTTGAAATTAATTAATCTTTAGTTTTTATAAATTCCATAAATGTATTTTTTTTTTTGTTTCTTTGTTTTTAAGTCACATTAATCTTGTATTTTATTTTTCTTAAGTACCAATGTATCGGTGAAGAATATTTAATATATAATATTTATATAGTTTTGTCAAGAATATTAAATTTCTTGGACAACAAAAAAAAATCCAATCACAAAAATCAAAAACAATTACATACATATACGAAATAATTTACCAAAAAACTTCGCTTTATCATTTAACTATAAAAAGCCAGTCTATTATGATTTTCAGATTAATAAAGAGATAATTTGATTAATGATGAGTGTCCAATTTCCTTAACAGCATTTTATTACATTTTACAATTACACATAGATTTTTGAACTCTTTCTCTTCGCTTTACCAAAAAACTTAATTTCCGAAACAAGGGGTTCCAATAACTTAGATATCAAGCACCCCCCCACAGGGCGGCAACAGCTTGCACCTTAACCCTGGAGGAGGTCCGTGTGCCTAACAGCTACGTGGTGGGTCAACCAGGGGAAGGTTTTAAGATCGCCATGGGACAGCTTGATCAAGCTAGGATTGGTATTGCTGCGCATGCTGTAGGTAGGGAATCTTTTTAATTAATCTATTTAATTACATATACCTATACGACTATATTGACAGCATTCGATTAAAAAATTAAAATCGATTTTTTTCGTTCTGTACAGGAAAACTACTTAACAGATTTGCGATCTTTACTACGGCTTTATTGTATTTAATTCTAATGTATGGGAAAAAGTCATACATTTTCATATATTCGTTATTTTCTTCTTGGTTGGTTTGTTACATCGTTACAATACAATATTGAGTAAAATATTCTTTACATTTATTTTTATCAAAAATAGGTTTAAAAAGTATGTCAAGATGTTCTCGTTTTAAAGTTTAAGGTTTAGTTAAAGATAAAACAATATGTTAGTGAATCTATCTTATTAGATTCGAGTAGTAAGTTCAATAACACGATCTATTGTATAGTATGTTATCTTTTCATATGGTCGATTATTAGGGTATTTTTTTAAATCCTTAATCTATATTGACTTTGAGTTTGTGTACAGGCATATCTCAGGCGGCTCTAGATACTGCAATAAGCTATGCTAAACAGAGAGTTGCATTTGGAAAAAGTTTATCAAGACTACCCTCAGTTCAAGTAAGTATTATAAACTACCGTACTTTTATCAGAGAAACAAAATAAATTTCATTTTTAAAAGTTTTATCTTTAAAGACGAAAATATTATCCGCTTTCATTTACAAAATTGTCCTTGATCTCGTTTCAAAGATATGGTCTGATTTTCTATAAGAGTGTTAATTTTAAAAACTCCAAGAACACATTCTGGAATTGCGAAAGGCACTGAATAGATGAAAAGAATAGAATTGTAACACATAAATCAAACATGCTGCGCTTAAAAATCATACATCATAGATTTTCCATAAACCTGACATCAAATTACTACTAGTAAAAAAATATTGTGCGTGTGCTAGTGTACACACGTAAGAAGTGAAACTTCTTTATGACCTTATTTTTCGAAAAATGATCTCCTACGATATGCAACTTTACAGAAATTGGTTAAATAAAGTGAAATTAGATAAAGTTTAACAAAAGGCTTTTATTATCATAGACATGAATTCAAATAATGCAATTATTACATTTTACCTTATTACTACTAAGATTATTACAGAATTTCAATAAAATATCGGATTCAACCTGCGATCGATCAAGCAATTTGTAGTTGGTATTAAAAAAAAGAAACATGGCGCGTAACCGAAAAACGTGACGATTTTTTTTATTGCTACAAAATTTCTCCCATACGTCGATAAAGAAGTTTCACTTCAAAAATTCGCCTCGCCGTCCAAGTTTGAAGTGAAGAATGTGAAGAAAATTACAATACTAACTTTGACCTTATTTCTCGTCTCACGTCATCCCATTTTGACTCCAGGACCGACTAACAGAAATGTCAGTTATGGTTGAAACTTCGCGCCTTCTTACGTATCGAGCGGCGACTCAGGTTATGACAAAAAATAGTGCGATGGCAAAGTACGTGGCTGGACGAAATGCGGCCGCAGTGGCTGATCACTGCGTACAAATAATGGGAGGGAATGGATTGTCCACTAAATATAACGCTGAGAGACATTATAGGTGAGTTACTTTTTTATTTTTATCTAACAGGAGGCAAACGGGCAGGAAGCTTACCTGATGTTACCGCCGCCCATGGACGACATTGCCAGAAGGCTCGCAAGTGCGTTGCCGGCCTTTTAATTGGTACGCTCCTTTCTCGAAGGACCCTAAGTCGAATTGCTTCGGAAATACTTCAGTGCAGAAGCTAGTTCCAAATAGTGATGGTGCGCGGCAGAAACTGCCTTAAGAAACGATCGGTAATGGATGTCGAGGTGATACGTATTTTGTATTCTGCCTTGAAGTCCAATGATGAAACTCAGCTGCAGGTATTAGTCCGAACAATTCCTCTGAAAACTCTCCATGGTAAATGCGGTAGAAGATGCATAGAGACCCAACATGTCTACGCAATACCAAGCGATTATACCGCTCGGAAAGTGACTGGTCGTCGACGATTCTATCATTTATAGATTTCTGTCTTAGAAGTTTTAAATGTAGCTCATTATAGCTTAACTGTAGGTATTTTATAAAAAAAATAACAATTGAAAACTGTTCATTTGTCTATACTCTGTAGTCTATACCAAAGATCGCTTCTGAAAACTTAGTGTACTTATAGATTTATTCGCTTGAAACGCCATTCTTGATTGTCTTATTAATTATGTGCAAGCCCGCAATGTACAGCGCTCAATGTTTACGACTTCAAAACATCAATCACACTCGAAAGGACTAAAATTAATTGCTCTTTGCTTCACAAAGTAAATATATATTAATAATTTTTAAGCTTTATAAATCTTAGTGATGTTGTAAATACCCTATTGAGAGTTATGTAAGCATTCCTCGGTTAATTTTTTTTATATATCGTTACACTGTATTGAATTATTTTCCGTCAGTGTAACTCCAGATTAAGTTTTAAGCCGAAATCATGATATCAAAATTTATAAAAACCTTTCACCTTAGTATTAAGACAGTTTTCTTATTTTTCCAGAGACGCAAGAGGAACTCAAATCTACGGCGGAGTTACGGACATACAGAAACGTCTAGTCGGACATTTCCTACTCAAAGAGCATGATGCTTTGTGATACAAACATATAAAAAGTATAAAATATATAGATATAAATAAAATTATAAACTTAACGTCACACATACAAATTTGTCACTACAATAAATCAGACAATAATATGTGCATTTAAATACAAAGTCGTTTAACGTTTTATTTAAAAATACACAGAGTAACATATCGCAATATAATTGTATAAATTCAATATAGAAAAATATTTACAGTTGGATTTTTATATTGAATACTTGTTTAATAGTTTTAAGACTGAAAAGCATTTATAATAGGTGCAAGTGTACGTATATGGCATTCCATATTATATCCGAATTTAGTAAGTCACAGAATATTACAGTTTCAAGTACTTACGTCAAAATGATGACAGTTTTGACAGCACACAGATTATATCTAGTTACACACACAACGATGTTTGTGGTTTCGTTTATTCCAAGTACAACTACGGAGCAGAATAGCAGTTTATCATACAAGTATTTTAGTATCAAGTAATTGGTAAAATTCACCCTGAACAAACACACACATTCACAAACTGTTTTTTATAATCTTTTTTGCGTATAGTATAACATGATATAAGGTGTCAAATAATAATTGTGAAATATAAACAAATTATTATATAATTTTAAGTTGAAAGTACATTTGACTAGTTAATTTTAAGTACAATCATTTCTAAGTTTGATTCAGCGCCTTAATAAAGCATACGCGACGCTTATTATGTTTGTCTTGCATTTTACGTGAAAACGTTAAAGACAACAGTGTCTTTAACGTTTTCACCGGTAACCGAACCGGATAGAAACGTGTTTTTTGCACAAAGTCAAAGTTTCATAACATAAAGTTTAAAAAAAAGTGTTAAAAAGTATTTATATTTTCTATAGTCTATGCTGTATAATGTAACGTATTGATAAGGTTATTAAATGGTATAACTGAAACTTTTATGTATACAGGGGCTTATTCTAAAAATATTATATAGTACCAATATTGCTCCTTTGATTTTAAATATACTCGAAATTGTTATTTTTCTATGTTGTTGACATATTAAAGTTTAATTTTATTTATTTAATTTTTTTGTAACTCCTATAATTATAAAAAAAAATAATCTACGTTTGAAATTCTTTGCCTTCGCTAATCGAAGAAAGGCCAGTGAAAAAAAAATTATTATTAATTTTCTGAGCGACTCAGACCAGGCCAAGAGGAGGTGAGAAAACAAAAGGCGCAAGTCTAATCGTTACCTTCGATTGTGATTGGTCAAACTGACAATATGACGTATCAACACGTATTGGAGACATGCTGTTAGCCACACAATCAAACCGTACGGGCAATGATGCCAACTTGGGGGTTCTCCCCCCAAATTTAGGGTGAATCAAGATGTCCTAAGGGGTTCATAACAGATACTATTATTTAGGGGGATATTTAGGAAGTACTTGGTACAAGAATTTTTTTTTTTTAAATAACGCTCGATTCTAACAATTTATATTAAGCCTAGAACCCAACCAATATGCTAAACCAAATATAAACTCCAAGTGTGATTATAACTAAAATATCAAAAAGCTATAATAATCCAAGATCGACTTAACACTATTTACTATTTTATCTACTTGAATGTATTTTGCATATTTGAAATTACCTCTCAAACCAAGCGGTAAACAAAAACTTTAGGGGTTTTTAATTGATACTACCCCTATTTGAAGTTGGTTTTATGGGAAAAATTCTGTAGGAGTTGGCATCACTGGCACAATCGTTTCGCCTTTTTTTTACTCGTAAAAATAAGAGAAATTCTCACTATGATCATTGTATTTACGTACCTACAATAAACCTAAAATAAAAACTGACTTATGAACATCAGAAAAAATATTAATGCTTCTTAATTTACGTTTACTGGCAGTTCTCAAATCAAGGGCGTAAAACAGATAAGAAGAACTGTCTATAACTCTCCGTCATTCTTTTAAATCGCTTAAATGTTTGTAAGCGACCATTACGTCATTCTCCTCATCGCGTGTTAAACATTGTAATTCAATAAAATAAAAAAAAAACTTACAGAAGATTCTCTTTATTACAATATTATGAACATATCAAATGGCTATACGTAAGCGAATTCTCAACAGTCATTAACCAATACTAACCGCTGCCCACACAGCGGTTAGATTGGGTAGTTAGTGGTTACATGGTCGCATCATTTAACCTTATATTCAGTAGCTAATCGTGTAATGTTGACGTGTATAGATTATAGCTTTATTAAGAGACTTTTGTTATATGAATAGGTTACATTTAATTTTTATTACTCACGACAGTCACAGATAAAAATAAATATTTTATGAAATAAATTACTAAATTCGTGAAAAATTCAATCCTATCCGAAAAATTTAATTGATTGTTTTAATGACAATGGGTTATGAAATTGTTCATATGTTACATATAATGTTGTTTGTTTCTCTCCTATGAGTATAGTGGTTCTGAGACCTGGTAAACAGAAAAAGTTATGCGTTATCGAACCCAACTGCGGGTTATACGTCTTGTACCAATAAGCCACGATCCGCACCAGATGAATTCTCTAAATATCATGAGTTCATGGCTGTTTTAGCATGTGGGTGGGTCACAATTTTTATTAGGATAAATGTTTACGGGCGTATTATACTAACGATTGCAATGGGCACTCAGACCGCACTATCTCTGCGTCACTTTCAGCAATGTACACACGGCGATAGTCAATTATCTTATCACTCCACTTCGATTACAACTCCAGTGCAGATGTATCCTTTGAAAAAATGCGCGCGCTCCAAATTTTGACGTTAAGCATTATATTTTTTCACGCGTGTGCCCAAGAGGTGTCGTTGGTGAAGCTGTGTACGCACTGCACATGCAGTGAGATCCCCGATGTTGATGGGACACATTTAGTGCTGAACATTCTGTGCTCCGAACTGGATAAGGTGGACGACCTTGCTGATTTGGACAAGATAGAATGGCCGGATAATTCTAATGGACTGAAGATTTCCGCCACCTTTGAAGGATTGGGACTCACGACGCTTGGGAAGTGAGTAATTTTTTCTTTATCGATAAGTGATGCCTAACTCTTTAAGAATGTGCTATAATTAGCTTATTTGTGTTTTATAAATAATCTGTTATTGACGTGTTCATGAACTTAATTAGCCTGCTATCATTGATAGCCTAATAAAGCATATTTTTGGACACCTTTATTCAAAATTCAAATATTGTAAACTAGTACAAGTTTTCCTTTTGCAATTGCTCCTAAACTACCTAATTTTACTTTAACCTAGTTTTCTAGCTATATTTTATTATCGCAAAAGATAGTGCAATGAGTTAGCCATGGGTTTCCAAGCCATAAATCTCAATATTCTCAAGTTAAATTGGTATCGGCCTTAATTGTTTTATCTTCAGTAAATAGGCCTCAGCCGAGGATAAATTTGTTTACCTCATATAGCCCTTTTTACCTTGATGACTTTGATATCATACAAGGTTGATGTTATGTAAAGAAAACGTAAGTTATAAGTAGCCTTTTTTTCACTATAGAAGTAACTGGCCAATAAAATTTATTTTGTGGTAGCTTTTTATTTATTTATTACGTGACTATGGATACAAGTCTTCGGTCGGATATACTTTACTCTATGTGACCACTTAGCCTTGATATCCTGCAATAAACATGAGATTAAAGCAGTTATTAAGTTGATTGAATTTTAACAGATAAGAACTTTGTAAAAAGACAAATTAAAAATCTTTGTATTTTGAGTTTTATATTTTCGTAGATAACACTATCTATATAATATACATGCTAAAGTATTACTTTGTTGTTAGAAATATAAAGTTAAACTGATTAAGGGAAATTCTGCTATGAATACGACGTTGACGTAGAACAAAGGCCTATTTCCCGTTTATAAATAATTAGATGTTTATGCAACGGAAGCCTTGGTTAAAGCACGCGACTCTCTTCCCCAAGTAATCATGCGTTCAAACCCCGGCCGTGCAATCTTTCTATATGCGCAATAAACACTTTCTCGTAAACATAAATAACGTGAGGAAAACAATATGATTAAATCAGTTGCCTAAAGATACAAAGTATAAAGGATTATAATGCCACTGGATTATTTGCAATTTTAAAGACATTATTTTTATTATATATATAATAGGAAATACATCCTTAAACACTTTGATTGGTTAAAGAAGGCATCTTCGAACAGCGAAATCTGTACAATCGAAGTGGCGATAACAATAGGTGATGAAATAATTATTACGGAAGTTAATTTTTTATTACTCATGGTTAATAGTTCAATAAACGATAAAGGTTGTTTTAAGTTCCATAACCCCCTAATGAGGTATGGGGTAGACACGTTTCCGCGTCTATTTCGGTCGCTTTATAGGTGTCCTTTTGTGCACACGCTAAATTTGATTACCAAGAACTCGAACGTATGTACTTTTCATTACGAACATTACTAATGTGTGACTCATAGTCCAATAAAGAAAGCCACACAACACATACGAGGTATATTTACCGCTCTTATCAAAAATCTAAGTATCATAATAATTGATTTCTTCGTACTCAAAACGATAGGCGATATCAATATAGCCAGAATAAACGTGACGCGTCTTGGTTTAGAATCCATTGTACATAATACTATTAAAGTTGGGTAGGTAATATTAAGGGAATTGCAACGCTGGATTGTCTGAATCAAATGAGAAGACCGATCGTTTAAAAAAACAATAGTCTATCGCTGTTTTGCGTGAGCCGACAAAGAATTTTAAATGAAAACACTTTGTTTACCTAATTGTTTTAAATCATAAATTAATAGCCTTTTAAGTGAATTAGCCACAGCCACATATTACAACTTTTATCTTTAAAAAAAGAGGGGACGCCCACCAGAATCCTGGGAAGGTGGAATAAAAGGGATAGCAGAGAATGATTAGAAAATGGTGGCGAGGATGAGAGACAAGTGGAAGAGTTTGGAGAAGGCCTGCACTCCGGCGGGGTTCGCGTAATAATGTTAAACATAACATGGACTTAATGTAATCCTGATTTTGCCTCGAATATTATTTTATTTTACGTATGTTTACTGTATAGGACAGTATATGTTAGAATAAAAAATTATAGTGATAAACATTTTAGTCATTGTAAAGTTAATTTCGTTGGAGTGAATTAACAAATAATTACATAATTTTATTAACTTAGATACAACACAGAACGTATGTATAAGAATACTACTATATCTGTCGGTGATTAAGCGAGTATAAATTTTAGACATTTTCTCGCGATAATGTGACTTCCTAGAGATTCGCAAAACAAACACACGCGACACACTTGCCGTGATTGATCGTGTCATTGTGCAATCAAGAGATAATGATGATCAACTGTGTAGTTGCATTATTTACATAATCAGCAAATGATTTTACAAAACAAACTGTTAACGGCTAACTTGAAGTCTGAATTTAATTTAATTATGAATACTAACTCACAAATAAATGGAAAATTAAAACAAATTAAAAAACTTTGTTCCTGTGGCAGTGTACCTTTAATGTTGGCAGCATTGCGGTCCAATATAGCGAGGAAACCAGCTCTGGGGTCACCAGTACTATCTACCAGGCGCCGACTAAATATTTAATTAGCGCCTGCACACTTGAACCCCATGGCCCAAGAGTGGCCAAAGGGAACAAAATCAAAGTTGGAGGAAAGACTCTTATATTTAAGCCGTTTATTTTTTACCGCCTGCTCTGATTTTGTGCTTGTCCAAGGGAGGTGAGACGGGGCTAACGTGTCCACACAAGTAGCATCCCTTTACCAAAGGCCGTCCTATTCTCTAAAGGACAATGACATTCCATCCAATTATGTCCTATAAAATCCCAGTGTGTCCCATCTTCAAGACACACTTTTTCATTGATTTTTCAAGGACAACTTCGTACATGACGGGTGTCTATTATTCTTAAAACCATATCTTGTTTCAATAGAATGAAATAAAAAATGCGTAAAGAGTCTGGCTAATGAAAGAAGATAATTGAATTATTTATTTATTTTATACCATATTCTTGCAAATAAATGATTATTATTATTATTATTATTGATAATGTTTTATAATAAATATGTGTTTTATAATAAATATAGTTTTAGTTTTCCATGCAATGCTAGTCATTTTAAGTATCAATAGTAAAAGACTAAATACGTATAGTATTTAATTTCATATAAATACAGTTACTATCAATGTAAAATAAATATAAAATAAAATACTAAAATTTTTTGAATTAGCCACGCTTTTTAGTTATCTTCTTTCATTAGCCAGACTATAAAATCTTCACACCATATAGAAGTCGTAGTACGAAGGTCGAAGATATCCTATCTTTCTATTATCTATAAGCTCTATTTTTAACTAAGTGTATTTATTTATTTTTATTTTATTTTTGGATTGATATTAACAATTAATTTGCGTTTCATATTTGCAAACTGCATATGATATTAAACATTACCCGAGATGAAGATGGCACGATGTTTATCAAAATATATCTGATAATACTGTGCAAATTTCCGCAAGTGTTCTACTTGTCAGTACCTACGTTATTGCAGCTATATAATTGAAAAAAAGTAGAATCTAATTAAATAATTACTGTTGATATTGACAAGTTTTTAATAAGGCGCTCGGAAAGAGATTTATGATATTCTTTCATACCTTTACGCGTATTATTTTTAGTAGTAGAATATCTCGCTTTTTAGCGATAAAGTCAAAATAATTATAGTTATACGATCTATATTGAACTTTTATGCTACAAACAATAAAATAATTTCCTGCTATATTAAAAAAAAAAATTTTTAAAACGCACTTACGGTCTTTTTCATATACATTTACTTGAAATGATTTGTCACTTATAATACCACAAGAGCTTCAAAATTATCGGGTATTTCCCGATAGGTTCGTTGCAAACAAATGAAGGAGTCATTTGTTTGAAGAACTTGACGACTTTATTTGTTTGCAGGGAACCTTGAGGGAAATGCCAGATAATTTTGAAGCTCGTGTGGTATTCGGGGGATTATTTTTCCGACCCAAATGTCGGCCAATAGAATTGCACCATGAGACGAAATGTACAGTTAACAAATAAGAATTTCATAATAAATAAAACAACTACTTAATACTTTTCTTGAACCAACTACCAGAGAAAATTTTCAAAAAATTATCAGTATAATACCATGTAGGTTGTACCACGTGACGTCGAATGGTGCAATTCTATTGGTCGATATTTGGGTCGGAAAAATAATCACATTTATTTATTATCAAGTGACACTAGAAGGAAAAAGACAAAACATTCAATGCTTTCAATTATATAAATGATTGTCTTCTAATCTAAAATCAGTAGTAAATACATCAATTTAAAGATTCATGGAAACTAAATGCATATCTCATTTTTTTCAGGCTACCACCAAATTCACAAGTTGAAACCCTTCGCTTCAGCAACAACGCGATAACAACGTATTGGCCGAACCCCTTTAGCGACGTACCGAACTTAAAAATACTATCTTTCTCACAAAACGACCTTGCCGAGTTGACTTCTGATCTCTTTACAAACATCAAAAGTTTGGAAGACCTAGATTTGTCTTACAACAAGTTGACTCGCATCAGTCCATTGGACTTGAAGAATGTCCAACGCCTAAAGAAATTAAACCTTCAAAGCAATTCGCTTAGAAAGTTCCCGGTAGAGGCGTTACAGTCCATGAATGTTCTGGAAGACCTGGATTTAAGTAAAAATGGAATAATAGACGTTTTGTTGCGGAGGGCAGTTACTGACGGATTGAAAGGAGTGAAACGATTGAACCTTAGTGGTAATAGAATAAGGTCTATTGTTAAGGATTCTTTTCCGGAAGATAATAATATGTAAGATTTTTAAATATATTAGTAACATATTGTAGTAATAAAATATGAAACCATTAGGAATTACACTAACTATAGAAATTATTGAGGAAAATAAAAGCGACAATTTTGTTGTCTATATTAGTAGCCAAGCAGGTGCCATTTCTCTGCCTTAACTACTTTTGTTGAGGTTTTGTTTTGTTAGAATTCGAAGAGCTTAGCTATATGTATATAAGCGATTAAGAGGTTAGGTTTGGTTAGGTTAGTTAATATCTCTTTACTAAATTAGTCTATCGTCTCTTTCTATCAAATTATTTTTATGCCGTCACGACAAAAATAAAAACAGTGACGAGTACTGTAGTATTCCTTATGAATAAGGGATTAGGGTTTTAGATAAAATTGGAATTTTAAAAACAAGTATTAATTCAATTTTCTAAACAATTTCAGCGAACTTCTGGACCTTTCAAACAACGTAATCGAAGTTATCGAAGAAGAGGCTTTTTTGACCTGCACCAGTTTACGTGAATTGAACCTAGCACAGAACAACATAACGTTTACTTTCGCACTTCCACCTACACTTCAAATCGCGATACTTAGGATTAATACCCTGTACCACTGGCCTAAATTCCCTGCTGGAATCACATATATCGACTTATCGTATAATCGACTATCAGCTCTCTATGACGAAACCAGCATTGACTTTCACAACTTAGAGGTGAGTTTAAAGTAGTCGGCGATATAGTTTATCATAGATAACTATTATAATGTGTATAATGTGTGATACAATTACATATTATCGATTGCGGCCACAACCCTTTCAGGGCGTTGCACTAAAATTGTGCATGTTGCTTTGATAACACGACTTTACAAAAAAATTTTCGTTCTTTGTCCTAAAGTTTATACTATTATTTTCCAGTTAGTTATGCACAAAAACGAAAAGAAAATACCTTTTTTCGGTATAAAGTTTGCTTTTGTGATAGTTATAATAATAACACTCATTTTTCAATTTTTTCATAAATTTTAATTGATTTTAATATTTTTAAAAAGACCGCGCGGTGAGAGTGCGTTATTAACGTTTACACTGTGCCGCTAGATGGCACCTGAGTGATAAACAACCATCAGATGTTATTTACAAGCCCAGAATAACTTAAAATGTCGTCACGAAAGTGCAAATACGATGCTGATGCATTTTGTTTTATATGTGGTCAATTTATTAAAGTTCGAGACGTGAAATATAGCAAAAGCAAAGTTTTTCATGCCATATATTTTTTTTCCGTCTTATTACGACCTAAACTACCGAAATTTAATGCTTTGCAATCAAAGTCAAATTTCATGGTGACCCGTGTAATTTATACAGAACTAAATCAGCTTTCTGGGCTAACATATCGTTGCTGTTTTGGTCTAAGACATGACAGTTTCCTCGCAAAGAAGGAAGTTTCTACCTTCATAAAAGGAAATTGCGCATATTGAAAGAAATATCCATTAATAGCTCGCGGCTTGAACCGACGACCCACCCACGAGTTTGTGAGTGGAATTTCACATCATGTTGTGAAAGTATCCATAGCGTCTACTACATATGGAAAATTTAACTATTTGGAAACTTTGTGTTGTCAAAAGAAAAAAACCTGTATTTCAGTTATAAAAACGAAGATGAACCAAATGATTCTATCACATATAAAATATAGAATACATGAAATTGCCTCCATATTTTTGTATCTAATTGGTGTTCGTGTGTACATGGGTTTTTTTATAACTTATATGTGATACAAAAACAGTATTATTAAATTTGCAGATTCTTAACATTGGAGGGAATCAAATAAAAGAATTCGACTTACAAAAGAAATTGCCACGGCTCTTCAGTTTGGATATTTCGTACAATATCATTCCTGAAGTCCCTAAATGCATCAGCAGCCAGAATTTCCCGACTTTAGAAGAATTAAGATTAGATGGCAACCCAATCGATAGTATTTACTTTAAAAATATAATTGCTCTTAAAAATTTGTATATGAATGATATGAACAAACTTTCTATTGTGGAAGATAAAGCTTTCAGTAACGTGATTGGTCGACCGGGAGATGAGATAGTGTATGAGAAGACATGCTTCTCTCTCTATTTATCAAATTGTGCATCGCTTCGCGAAATTCAAGAAGGCGCGTTTGATGGGACTACGTTGTGTATGGTAAGAATGAAATTTATTTTGCTTTGCCGTTTGCAAGCTTTAAATAAGACATATTCAAAATATGTTATATATAAAATTCTCGTGTCACAATGTTAGTTACCATACTCCTCCGAAACGGCTTGACCGATTTTTATCAAATTTTATATGCATATTCAGTGAGTTTGAGAATCGGCTACTATCTATCTTTCAACCCCCTAAGTGAAAAGGGGTATCCACCACAAACAAAAATTTTATTCTTTAGAAATTTTGTTTTGTTTTTATTTTTTTATGATACAGCATACAAAAATAGATACAACCCCTAATTTTCAATCGTCTACGATCAACCCCTATTTATTATTTGTTCATTAAAATATTATGACTAGAACTGAGGTTTACATAGAGAAAAAATCACAAAAAATCTCGGTAAAACTGTTTACACGCCCGTGTTTATTATTTTATTTTTCGCTAATACGTAATATCTACTGCCCTTTAAATAGCCATGAATATCATATAGCAAATGCAATTCTTCCTATTTCAGCTAGATATAAGCAAGAACAACCTAACACATCTATCGAGAACGCTCCTTGAATGGAGGTCCCTAACGGAGGGGGCTAATCTCCAGTTTAACCCATGGCATTGCTCCTGCGACATGGAATGGGTTCTAAAGGACTTACTTCCACAGATGTACAAGACAAACTCCTTACTCCTCAGTGAATTTAGGTAACAATCAATTAATTTTGTTTCGCTATACAGTAAGCATACTGTTATAGCTAACACATTTTAATTCTAAAAAAAACATATGTATTTAATTTTTTTTAAAGTAAGCGAAAGAAGCCTAAAAGACATGGATAGATAAATTTGGAAAAAGCTGGAGGAAGCCTTTACCCGTAAAGGGGTTCGAATCAATAGTACTCAAGGAATTTCATGGAGTAACAAAAATGTATACGAGTAAATCTAAAATGTTGACACATTTGTATAGAATGGAATTCAAACGGGCTTTATTATTATGAACTTCACTACATTTAACCAGTGGTAATATAACATCGTTGCTCATTTGTTTCTATGGTTTTATTTCTTTGTAGGCGTGTATAATTGTCGATGTTTGTGAATAATGCCGGTTTCCTTATAATGTTTAATGAACATTGAACAGTATCTCAACAATTGTTATCTGAGTGAAATCGAAAGCAGTGCTAGTATTGGCGGCTTCGATTGAAAGACCTCAGGGTCGCAATGTTTTAGGGTTTAAATTTCCTATATGTTCAAGACTGGCTCCATATTACTTACGTTTAATATTTTTAATTTCGAAAGACGATTATGTAAAAGGAATGAAGATAGAAAGGGAATAAAAGCCTGCCGCAACGATAATGCGTGCAACAGTCTAAAATGTTGAATATACAAAGCGACCTCATCGGTTCCAGTACAACATTTAACAAGTCCCAGCCTTTTATATTCCTAATATAAAAGCCTACGCAATTGTACTTTACCTTGAGACTTCTCTTCACTAAAGCAATCCTCATTACAGGTGTGGGTCTCCACGTGCCTACGAAGGTCTACGCCTGGTTCATTGGTACAACTGGACCGAACAGGCAATGTGCACAGATGCTTATGGTTTAGACAATTATCAGGTAAAAATCGTTATATTTCTGCACAGAATATAAATCTTTATTTAAAGCCGTTTTCTACATAATGCAAAGAGTAAGAGTGAGACCAATTTAATATTTTTAGCCTTTGTAGATCTGGTTATCGACAAATTAACTTATTTTGATATGAAGAGCAGAGTTCGATTTCTGTGTAAACTAGGTATTAAATGCTTATATTTGCCTACAGGTTAATGAATACGCTATGAATTAAATTCGTACTTGCCTGCTAAGCATTGCTTTGACAAATTGAATTAAATTTGTTTGTTCTGTTGCATTTATCTATAGAAAACAATAGTTTTATAAATAACTACCTACCTCGTTGTCTATAATAGTAGTCAGGGTTATTTCCATATCATATATCGTACCTAATGGCTAGTATATCAAAGGTTACATCAGAGACAATTTTGCAGATTGAACCGTCAACAATAAAATCATCACAAATTAGTTCCTTGACTTTAATCCTCGCTGGATGCATCATTGCAGCGCTGATCGTTGCTACAGCGCTGTCCGTTTACCTCATACGAAATAGACGAAGACACAATGTGAGGCAAGCCGCTTTAAAACGAAAGCGACAAAGCGCTTTAGATGTAAGAGAGGCCAATGGGCACGAGCAGTTCTCAGCTTTAAATAAAGCGTGATAGAGTCTAGAATCTCACAGATATTGTGAGAGGGATGTGTGATCGTGTATTTGTAGTTTTTGGTTTTTAAGAATTATTTATAAAGATATAGAACTTCCATAAAGCTAAATAACTATTAAAAGTTTTAATGTTTTATGTAAATAGCTTACATAATTTTTGTACATAAAAATAGAATGCAAAGCCTAAATAATATTATTGAAGGCACAATAATTGTGTAACAATTTTTTTATTAGAAGGTTTAAACTCCAACCAAATGTTATTATTATATCTTCGGCTGTTTGACTGGACGAAGGATTGCCATACTTGATTAATATTTTATTTCTTGTTGATGATTTTCGTTAATAAAATAGATTTAAGTGTATTTTAGAATCTGAGTAAGTTAATAAATATTTTTTATTTTTCCCTTGTTTGTTTTGCGAAAGGGTTTATAATTTTTCGTATTGTTCCTGGTCCATTCCATTTCCCTTTTAATAGTCTATTCCAGTATAAATATGGGAATACATTATTTTGCAAATAAAAGCAGATACGACGTTCTTTTGCCTGAAACCATATTTTTATTGAAATAACAGTAAACTAACATAGGGCCTAATATTGCCCATTCGCATCAATATTTTGTTCCTCGTTTTCTAATCACGCAACAAAAATACGATTAGCACACAATTTAACTAAGTATACTTAATCTTTTTTTCTCATATATTTTATATATTTAAATCTTAAGGTTAAGCAGTTGTTGAGTTGCTCAGAGTATAGTATGTAAAACAAAATGTATTATTTTCTTTCCTCAAATTATTTTTAATTGAACACGCAAATATTAGCTGAAAGAAGCTGATGCAAGAAAAAAGCTAAAAAGAAAAAAGTAAGAGATAGCTACGGTTGTCTTCTAATTACGTGATTGGTTAGGCCTTAGAATAATATTAAATGGCAAAGTTTTAATGCAATAGGAAGCAATGGCGCTATCATTTGTAAACGGAATGACGGATCGCGTTGACCAAAAATTCTTGTAATACCTGATCAAATGGCAAAGTTTCGGCAATCTTTCCGTCATATTTGAATTCGGCAATAATACCCCGTTTGTACGATGTAAGGATGGGACATGCGCCGTATCCATCATATTTCGCAATCAATGGCTTTCCATACATTGAATTCCATAAATTTTGGGCGACTACATTACTTTGATTGGCTGGAACATGATTAAAGGATTAATTACACCCGAGTTTGGCCTAACTTCCAACGATTCTACATCATACATCATTCTACACAACTAAATATACTTGGATTGCTATAACCTATCTTTGTCTGTAATAATCAGTTAGAGTCTAGCTAATGAAAGAAGATATTTGAATTATTTGAAAACTTTCGGATGGCAACACAGAATGTCATTGAATTTCTTAGGTTAGTATGATTTATTGTCTTGATAGTTCATGCAATTACTCATTTTTATTTCTATTATATATTTTTTCCGAATAGTTAACAGGTACTTTGTGTTATTTGATAGAACATTTCGTTTCTTTCGCAGGATTTGATTATTCCGAATAAATTTGTGTTTTATAATAAATATAGTTTTAGTTTTTCATGCAATGCTAGTCATTTCAAGTATCAATAGTAAAAGACTAAATACGTATAGTATTTAATTTCATAGAAATGCAGTTACTATCAATGTAAAAAATAATAAAATAAAATAAAGTATCAAGTAAGTTTAATCCACAAAATATATTAAACTTTCAGGGATACCATACTATTTTTTTTTAATTTGCCGCGTTTTTTCGTTGTCTTCTTTCAGTAGCCAGACTTACCTAAATAATTATAGCAATTTATTCATTCACTTTGTGAACAAATTTATTTTACAATTCTTTATAAATTAAAAAATATATGAATATAGTTACCAACGGCAGCCGCTGTTTTGCTACTAGGAGTATTTATACAGTCCCCAATTCCAAAGACATTGGAATATCGCTTATGCTGTAATGTATGTTTGTCCACTTCTAAATACCCTTTGGAAGCCAGCTCCGTACATTTAGTAAGACAAGTGGGTGGGGACATAGGCGGCGTCACGTGCATGAAAGTGTATGGAAGGATTACAGTCTGAAATAGTTTATAAGTTAATTAGGTAGTAGTTTTCTTTATACAAGTATAAATATAATTTCTTTGGCTTTAAAAACAATTAACTTTAATCGTTTTATGGCATTCTAATGTTGCATGTTTAAAGCGCGCTAACCCGTGAAGAACAAGGGAAGTAACTAAGTTTATGTTTGAGAGTATGAATTCCCAATCTATTCCCAAGAATATTTGAAAGAAACTGTTAGTAATTTTAAATATTCACTTAGATAATATTAAATCACGGCTACTAAGTCACGTTAGACCTAGTTGTTTACGAATATTAACTTTATTACGCTGTAATTCTGTTGCATTTTGAAAGACGTTGCAAATCCATTAAACTCAATTTAGGAAAACAAAAGACTGAGCTTGTTAGTGTTTGATTGTTTGTCAACATTTTAGATCATACAACAAATAACCTGTCCGCCATTTCCGATGAAGACTGCATTTCTTGGCGTTACTTCCTTTAGTTCCAACTTGTAGTTGACAGCTATACCACGGCTTTCTGCAACCTGGGTTAAAGCTTTGGCGTATTTCGGAATACCAAAGAGAGTTTCCTTTGGAGTCGTGTATGTAATACTTGAATTTTTTATTATCTTTTTCTGCAAATATTTTTAGTTTTTATGCGAACATGTCTAATTTAATTTAATTTAGTTTAGATATGCTCTCAAATATCACACGTCATATTAACGAGAACAATCGAATACTTATGAAAATATGTTATAAAAAGAATACACGTATATTAAACGTGTGAAACTGACATGAGAACTTAAAAAGGAAGACAGATCCGCAGATACAGGCAGTCCTCGTACTACCGGCATGTTAGGTTCTCGAAATACGCGACGTAACTCGAAACGACGTAAGTCGAGACATATTTTTTCGTATGTTTACTGAAACTAAAGGGTTAGGATCCACATGGACTCGAAATTTAAAAAAAACTGAATTTATAACAAAGGATATACATACTTTATTATCAAAAGTAAGTTCTTAAAATAATTATATATGCACTTATGAAATTGCTAGTTATTTTTGGTATTTGTGCGTTATTAATATACTCGTATAAATTACACTTTTGGCTTAGAGAAACTATCAATTCTAGATTGTTTCGCTTCTTTCTTCTTGCTATCATACAGTTCTTGGTAACACTGGTAGGCTGCACAAATTTTGTTATTAACGTTGAAACTTCTCTCAAAATTAGGATCATTTTCTTCAAAAATTTTCATGGCATTCTCCAAATTTGCAAAGGCTACGGAAAGTTTTTTTAGTGTAAGTTCTCTTTCAGAGTTACTAATAGAAGAAGCTATTTCTTGTGACTCGAATTCATCCTTTAGTACTTGTGCCTCCAATTCAATAAGATCTTCATCGGTCAGTTCTTGCGAATGTGAGCTTAACAGATCATCAATATCATCAGCAGTAACTGCAATGTCAGGCAAACGGTTAGCCAAATGAACAATGTCAGTTGTGATCTCATCGATATTTGGTTGATCTGTAGATGAACTTTCAGATGGCTGAAAAAAAATGGGCATAACTTTTTCCAGACTCCTTTTAAATTTTTAGGTGTCACCTCATCCCATGAAGCAGCAATATTTTTTACGCATTGCAAGATATTATAACTTTTCCAAAAATCTCTCAGCTCCATGCCATCATTTTTATTAGCCTTTACAGCCTGCGAAAAAGTTTTCCTGAGATAATAGGCCTTAAAAGACGCTATAACTCCTTGATCCATCGGCTGTAACAACGAAGTAGTGTTTGGAGGTAGGAACAAAACTTTGATTTGAGGATCGATATCTGCAATACGTAAAGGATGGCCGGGAGCATTATCCAATATAAGTAAAGCTTTATAAGCCAAATTATTGTTTAAACAATACTGTTTCACTTCAGGTATAAAATGCTTAGTAAACCATTCTTCAAAAAGTATTGATGTAACCCATGCCTTTGGATTAGCCTTCCATATAACTGGAAGAGTACTCTTGACGTAATTATTAAGAGCTCGAGGATCTTCTGACCTATAAACCAAAAGGGGTTTTAATTTAAGATCACCTTCAACATTCGAACCCAATAACAACGTCAAACGATCTTTAGCCGCTTTAAACCCAGGCATAGACTTTTCTTCCTGCGATATAAAAGTACGAGAAGGCATTTTTTTCCAAAATAAACCAGTTTCGTCGACGTTAAAAATTTGTTTATGCGAATAGTATCCACTTTCGATAATTTCCTTTAATATTCCAGAAAAACTCTGAGCAGCCACATGATCGGCACTAGCAGCTTCTTCTTGCACTCGAATTTTATGTAACGAATATCTCGTTTTAAAGCGAATGTACCATCCGCGACTGGCAGAAAAACATTTTGTTTCTTCACTATTATTCTCGCCACGTTTATTTTGCAGTGTGTTGATGATACTCAGCGCCTTATTTTGTATAATAGCCAAACTTAGAGGAACCTGTCGCTGATTTTGATCTTGAATCCAAGTGTACAAGAGTTTTTCCATCTCATAAATTAAAGAATTCCTTTTTCGTATAATAGTGCTGTTTGAAGAGACGGAAGGTAGAGCTCTTAAGAGTTTTTCTTTATCTTTCAATATCGTTTGTACCGTCGTGCGTGATAAATTAAGTTCTCGTCCAATAGATGAAGTCGAACAACCGTGATCTTTGAGTTTTAAAATCTTAGACTTAACCTCCATTGTAATTGTCTTTCTTACTCTCTTCTTCACTGCACTATTAATGTCTTGTTTAGGTGGCATAGTTTAAAATTCACTTATATATGTATGTAAAAACAAAAACTGTCAAAGATGCTAAAAAAACTAATGTATTACGTCTTGATTGTCCGTTGTTCCTGAAGTAACTGAACAAAATCAGCATGTGCGGGGTAATCCCCCTACGCCGACACCGCGCCCCGCCGGCCCCACGGTCATTGACATCGCGACAAGTGAACTCTCCTATGCCGGAAATCGAATCAAATGACGTATGCTTGAGGAATAGTGTCAAAACATTGTTCGACGTAACTTGAAACGACGTAAGTGGAGGAATGCCTGTACTGTATAAAATATACACATGTGTTTTGTAGGACATAATATTCATAAGAATCTAAAACCTCTCAAGCATCCTCCTCCTCTTGACTCCTTTGAATCAATAGAGTTTTCACAATAGCCAAAAGTAGTAGATAGGTATTAGCCAACGACTTTGAACACCCCGAAGTAGGAGGTTTACGATTAGAGGAAAACTTTCCAGCACTGTACTACGTAGAACTACGTAATCAGCCAGTGCTTGATGCATGTACATTTTTAGGTTTTTGCCCATATTTTTATTTGCCTTCACCATATGAGCAAGTGTTAAGTGTGCATATAAAAAAAAAAAAGGGTGCGTGTACTTATGTACGCGCGTAAGAAGTTATACTTCTTTGGCATTATTAAAAATAGTTTGGCTTTGTTCCACCTCCAGTTTTTGATGTTTCACAGCGATAAGATGACAACTCTTTTTTTGTATTCAATTTAGTGCACTTACACTGATTCATCAATTGTTTTTTGTCTCTTGTCCTTATATTTGCTAGAGAAAAATTACACGTTTTGATTAAACAATGTGGTAATTTTTTTAATCAAAACATTACTCGATAATAATAATACAAACTGATAGTTAACCTCGATTGTAATGAAGCACTTAGGAAGGTTGATGAGCACAGTTTTTTCACAAATATTAATTAGTATTGGTTTAAATATTCAATTTAAATCACTTCTGATTATATATAATTCAAAAAGCATTGCTAAATTTCTTTGAAAAAATAATTAAAACTCCTTTATTTGTTTAAAAGGTAAATGACAAATGTCATTATGGTCATTCAAAATTCTTGGCATACGAACTTCACGCATATTCTATTTCTTTTTACTTGTAGATTGTCTTATTCCTATCTCGCTCGCGCACGCTATAATCACACTCCTAATTTTGTGTCACGGTGCGCGCGCATCGTAAAATTTCACTCTCATAAATTTTTCATAACGCGCCTAAAGAAGTATAACTTCAAAAAAATTTATACTCTTGCTACGTGCCATTGCTACAGGTAGACTAATGAACATCAGATACCACTTTTAATCTAAACAGAAATAAATTACTTTTTTCCAATAATCATGTGCCAGGTACATGATCTTCTGCGCTGCTCCAGAGCACTTCCCCACTTCTTTAGGGAAGGTGAAAATAGCATGGCCACCACCAAAACGATGAACATTGCACCAACATTTTGTACAGAATTGGGGCGAGTAGATCGTAGAGACTTGAACTAATGGGTCTTTAAGGTAGCGGGAAAGTCCTGGGATCTATAAAACTCAGATAATGGGTACTTCAACTGAACTTACAAAGGTTTGATAGGTAGAACTACTACAACCAAATAAAAGACACCCTTTAAAATATATCTACTGCACTGAAGACTTTTTCCTACCACACATTAGACATAACGTTTATTACTAACAAAAACACACAAAATAACAATAATCAAAGAAAAAAATAAAAATAATGTGAGACATTTTTTTTTCTTTTAAAGAATAAGGTACGTTTTAAGTGTGTAATGCGTGTTTGCTGTGGTAGTAATTTGCCCTGGCTCAGCATTATGCTGAAAAGGTGACTGTTCCACAGCGCTGGTTATTCTGCAAGATACTACAGTAGCTAGTTTGAGCCTCAGTCACAAAAATAGAAAAAGAATGTAATAATACTAATGCTTAGTAGAAAAAAAAAATTATAATAATAATATTAGTAAAAGTTAGCAGTGTAAGTAATGAAGTCTTGTGTAAAAGTGTATATATATATAATTCATAAGAAATAGATAAATACATATTTTTGGGCAGATTTCGTGAGATTTTTGTTGAGTAAGTAGATGTTTTTTATAACTGCGACATAAATTGATCTTCTGATAATTATGGTGACCCAAATATTGAAGAATGAATGCTTACCTTATCATAGTCGTTCTTTAACCCAACACCAATGACTAGCGAATCGTATCTCACTCTAAGCCCGCAATGGGTGAATACTGCATTATTGCAAGGGTCAAACTCATCTACCTGGTCTTTTAACCACATGACCTTGGATGGCAGAATGCTCTGGAGTGGTTTGTGGCTTTGCGGAAACTTCTTTATACCAGCCCCAATCAGTGTGAATAAAGGTTGGTAGTAGTGGACCTGCGTTTAGCATTTAAGTTGCAAGTAAGAATTTACTGAAATACGTTGTGCAATGCATAAGTATGTGCATACAAGCGAAATATTTATTTACAATTTAATTTTTTAAAGGTAAAGCTTAGGTTTCCTAGAGAACGTTGAGTGTCACCGAAACATCAAATAGCGGTGCTGTCATTTGCATGACGGCCGTCATAGCGGTGATAAACATTAGTTCAACGTTTTTCCCGTGTAGCGGTGCCCATATTTAAGTACAATGAGTGGACACGTGACTTGGACGAGCGAAAATGTTTGTTTTTTTGCATTATGTTAAAAAGTAAAGACGGCCGTTATTAACAACTGTAAAGTGACGGCCGTTATTTAGCGGAATCGCTTTTCTAGAAATTTAAGCTTAACAACCGTAAAATGACGGCCGTTAGTTAACGACACCGCTTTTCTAGGAAACCTAAGCTTAAGTTTTTATAAGTCTTTTCAACGTCAAAGGTTAACGCGTAATGTGCTGCATATCTATAAAAAGACGATTAAACAATAATATTAATTTTACAGTAAGCCAGACAACAAATATAATTTCCTGTTTATAAACCCTGATTTATCTATGTAAAGACTGGATAGTTTTGATATGGAATATGTAGAAATCATTTTCATAAAGTAAATGGAATATACCGCAGATGGTTCAATAACAATAATGTCTTTGTCCGACAGCTTTTTGTGTAAACGCCATACCACGCTGCACCCGCCAGCCCCAGCACCCACCACAAGTACCTTACACCTACATTAATAAACAACAAATTAAATAAGTTTAAATTCTACTAATCTGATTTAAAACGTATCAGATATCTTAAGAAGGATTTAGATTATGAAAAAGAGAATATTCGTCTCGAACAAAGTTAAGATTTTGGAAATACAGTCAATACCGTTTACAACGACATCGATTAAAACAACATACCGGTTATATTGACGAAAATCAAAGGTTTTTTTTAAAGAACAGGGGGCAAACCGGCAGGAGGCTGAATTCTATTGAATTAGGTACTTAATATAAACGTCATCGGGTGTTACGACTATCGGCCAAATATGAAGAATCCCTTCGATCTCGTTATAACAGATTTTGACTGTATTACCGTTGTAATTAATAATAATAATCTATAGTTACAACCCTATATGGGTTGGCCTAAGACTACATAAGTTTCTTTGATAATTTTATAGAAATGTGATAAGACTTCGTCGACGATTATCTTACGATGTTTTCCTTCCAAGTATTAAGACTTAATTTTAAGATTGCCGGTATTCGAACGCAAGGTCGAGATTACCTTGCCCAAGCCACTAGGTCAACGCTGCTATAGCTATCTTGTGCGAAATATAAATAAATATTCGATTCAGAAACCGTAAAACACTCACTTTTATATACATAATAATATGAGTAATTTAATACATAATTAGCTTACCGAAGTTCATTCCTGCACGTGTAACATCGAGAAAGAAATTTTGTTGTTATTAATTGTTTATGAATAAAACTGGAATTTAGCATTTTACATTCGGGGTCATGTTGCTTTTACTGACTTATTAACCAACTAGATTTTCGTTGGATATCAAAAATATACCTATATGTAGCTTTATACAGACCATTAAATATTTGTATTTCTAATCGGCCCATTTAATTTAATTAAAATCAACAAATTATAACAGACATTAGCATGAATACAAAAAAGCGGCATTTCAACCTCTAGGTCTTGAACTCGGATTCCTTTCTCCGTTTCGTTACAATTTTTCTTAATAGACATGTCAATCAGCCTTTTGTGCATGACACACGCTGTCAATTTTTAGGTCTAAGGCACGTCTTTCCACACAATGTTTTACTTCGCACGTAGTTATTTATGCATATAGAAATAATTTTGGTTGTTGTGATTCTAAGAGAGCAGCTCTAAGGAATTATTATTTGAACAGAAAATGTAGACTAAGCGATATTAAATGGATACTTTCTTATATCTTAGATGAGTATAATATAGTTTGTAATTAATTGAATGTTATTTTAAAAACGAATGACGAAACGGTTATTCGTTACGTAACACGTTCGATTGTGATTGGTTAACATATCTCGCGTTGACATGCGACATGAACGTCATATTACGCCATTTGACCAATGAACAAGTGAACGCAACGTTTTGACTTGCGTCTTTTGTTTCACACTGTCATCCCAACACACCTCGTGGCTGCTCTAAGAGAACCCAAATGTTATCTATAATGTTAAGGTCAAGAAAAAAAGATTAACATTAAACCATTTATTAAACAATAAATAAAAATCTCAAATACATTACCAATAATATCAACGCGATACTATGCTAAGAATAAATGTGATTTAACTTAAAATAATAATAAATACAATTTAGCACATAAACCGTTATTTACAAAGATATTTCAGAAAATATTTGTATTAAAATAACTGTAGAAAAATATCTATTAAACGTTTGTTTTGCGGCACCGCAATGCCTTCATTCCATCCTTAAGAATATTTTAGTAAGTTGTCTTAAGGTCAGTCAAAAACGTCAAACAGCAAACAATTAATTTTTAAATTCTAGCTTAGACGAATTAGAAATTAGGACAATAGGTCCTTATATAAGCGATATTAATAAAAAAAATATTTGCAAATCTATCGATTATTATTTACACCAAACACTGCGATAATTGTGTTAAGCTTAGATTGCCAAGCCTATCAATTACGTAGATATGCATGATAAAATTATTGTTAAAGTTGCGCAATTATTGGGTATTAGGTAATGAACATAATTTGAACAGACAAATTTTCGCACGTCATGCTAATTTAGACATAATTATGTACGGTTCACTATAGGGGGTGGGGGGGGGGCGTTCTTTAAGTTTCTTATTTGGTGATTATGTCAACAGTAATTATTTACTTTTTTACACATATTACCCACACATTGTCTATGCTTGAAAACAAAATGCAATTTATGTACTATTATAGTTGAGAGCTTTGCTTACTTTTTCTGACAAGAGAGGGGGGGGGGTACAAATTGCAATAAATCTGTTTACGTAATACTTGAACGGCCCCATACATCTTAACACAAATCAAGGCCACAACGGGCATTTACTTTAAATTCTCTATTACTATCATACAAAAATATGTGCCCCAATGTTACGATTCCTCTTAACTGCCTTGGATTAAGGTGCATTTTACAATACGTATTTTATAGCTATGTTTACTTAGCTAGAGGATTGATTAACTTCCGCACCCACTCAGGCCCATGGTAGTACCCCTTCAACATGAAGTGCCAATAGAGGAATGGGAAAAGATCCCTCTTCATGTAGTACGCCATCGTACTTTCCCGTGCCTGTTAAAAACATATATTGCTTTATAATAGTACAGATAAAACGACTGCAACGGAATTATTGTACACATTTTTCAGTTAATATCTCTTATTAAAAAAGAAACATATTACATAACTAGTAAATATTAAATTAGCATGCACTCTTTTAAAGTTTCATCTCATTAAGGGAAAAAAATGTTTAAAATAAAAGTTGATTATGTAGGCACAGATAAATAATGTACCGAACTATTTTCAGGCTAAGTGATATATATTACATATAAGATTTTTATAACTTTATAAAAATTCTCGACTACCCTATATATAATAAAAAGGTTTTTAAATTCAAAAAAATACGCTTGGCACTCGGGGACTGCCGCGGTAAAGCTATTGCTTAGCATTTTTTATAAACTTATGCAATATAATTATTTATTTATTTTTTGGAGTATTTTTTATCTTCGATATTAATTCAAGTTTTTTCTTTGATATTAATTCAATCTATCACTCTACCAGACTCGCTATCCGATCACGTTAAACCGATGTGAGACGCAGTATGCGTTCTGTCCCGCTGTAACGCGTATTGGCCGCACCTATATTACGTCATCGCGTGTTAGGTTTATTTCGTTACGGAATTTCTTGATTCGGTCGCCGCGCTCAAAGCCCGCGATAAAATCTATGCAATAGCTTTATAACTCACCTGGTTAATGGGCATTGTCTCCCTTGGCACGCCATCGTATAAGAACTCCGCGAGTATACACTTGCCATATTGTGTGACTATAGGACAAGCGCCGTACCCATTGTACTTCTGATCGAGGCTTTGTTTACCCGACATCGTACTGAGGAGGTTATGTTCAACGACGTATGATTGTTTAGCTGTAAGAGTTAATTTATATAGTTTGTAGGTATTCAGAGTCGAAACTTATTTATATATGTCTCCTGTATTTGAAGATTTGGGTTTGATGTACCTACAGGAAACATACTTTGCGTTTCCGACTTCGAAGCTGTTCCATTAAGTCTTAAATAAAGTAGATAGTGTCTCGCTGACTATTATTGCACAGTACCTACTTGAAACGTTGAATTATATCCTCATTTAAATGAATTTAACAAAAAATTATATAACAGGGGTCAAACGGGCAGGAGGCTCATCTGATGTTAAGTAATACTACCCATAGACACTTACATTGCCTGAGGAGTCGCAAGTGCGTTGCCTTTTAATAAATAGTATGCTCTTTTCATGACCCCAAGTCGAATTGGTTTAGAAATACTTCAGTCAAAAGTCAAAATCGTTTATTCATATAGGTACCAATGTACACTTATGAACGTCAGAAAAAAATATATATGAAATGCTTCTAATTTTACATTTACTGCCAGTTCTCAAATCAAGGGCGTAGAAAGGAAGAGAAGAACTGGCACTACGAGCACGCACTCACATTCTCGTGGGAGTGGGCAGATGGCACCTTCAATGTGTAGTTCTTTTAGTTGATCTTATTTAAAGCTCTTATTAGGCTAGTAAGAATTCATTTTTAAAGCAATGCTGGCCTGAGGTCGTGCACTATTAAACTTTTGTGCGCAATTTAACTTAGTTCCTAAAATCGACAACATCAAAGTTACTGATAGGTATATTATTGTAATCCTACATTTTAATGTGAACTTAAACTTCCGCGGGGTACATGAATATACATATATACTTTAGTTACCTTTTTTTTAAAATATATAACTGAGGGCAAACGGGCAGGAGGCTCATCTGATGTTAAGACATAAGAACACTCTCAATGCCAGAGGGCTCGCAAGTGCCTTTAGTTTTGTTTTCATTAATTATTCATATTCGAATAAAATTTTATACGTTATCGTATGCGTCAGTTTAATAATTGCACAATATTATGTCGGCAAAAGGGATTATTTATCAAAATGGCTTAAACGGATTTTTCATAATATACACGTAAGAAGATAGACGCATGAGGTACCCGTCTCGCGACCCACAAAAAAGCCAAAAAAGTTAAGTAAAACAGTCTTGGGAGTTCGTAAAATTATAATAAATTGTGCGTGTACTAGGTGTACACACGTAAGAAGTGAAAATTCTTTATGATCTTATTTTTCGAATAATGATCTACTATATGCAACTTTACAGAAATTCGTTAAATTAGATAAAGTTTAACAAAAGGCTTTTATTATCATAGACATGAATACAAATATTTCATTTTACCTTATTACTACGAAGATTATTATAGAATTTCATTAATTGTAATAGAATTATTACTATCATTGAAAAACGTGACGATTTGCTACAAAATTTATCCCATACGTCGATAAAGAAGTTTCATTCCAACGCCGATAAAGAAGTTTCACTTCAAAAAGCAACATGGCGCGTAACCGAAAAATGTGACGCGTAACGAAAAAATGTTACACTAAATTTTTTTCCAACCTCGATAAAGAAGTTTCACTTCAATAATAACGAATCTTTTGTGCCTATATGATGTTTATATTAATTATTTTTCAACTTAGTGTGAACCCCCTTTTAAACAAACTCAACTCCCCCAAGGGTCGCGACTCCCCCCCCTTAAGACATTTTAGAACAGGTTACGTAACTTGGATAACTTAAGGGCATAAATAATTACCTATAGCAGCCGCAGTCTTGCTATTAGGTGTGTTTGTGCAATCACCAATGCCGTATATATTCGGGTACTTCTTATGCTGAAGGGTAAACTTATCCACATCCAGGTAACCATTTCCATCCACAATATCGGGGCTGTTCCGGAGAAATTCAGGTGTATACATAGGCGGTGTCACGTGCAGCATGTCGTATGGGAGTGTTATTTCCTGTAAATAGAGGTTATTCTTCATTTTATTTTTGAAGTTATACTTCTTTTGGCGCGTTAGGGTAAAATGATGAGAGTAAATTATTACGATGCGCACGCACACCGTCACAAGAAACCGACACCCTGAATATCTGTTCAAACGTCGGTAAAACAGTCTGGGCCGCTAGTTGGCGCTTGCTCTGTTTTATGGACAAATGCTGTGTGGTCGATTGGAAGTGACCATTAAAATGGAATTCGAAGAGGTTAACGTCCATCTAAGGTGCTCGAAGAAAATCATCACGCCAAATAAGTATAATTTCTAACGCGTGTACATAAGTCCACATATGTTTTTTATTTTTTTCTAGGCATATTAATGAGAACGGAATTTCGACTAAAGAAATTTTCTTTCCCTATTATACACATAACTAGCGACCCACTCCGGCTTTGCACGAGCGATCTGGACCGAAATCCTTAAAAGATGACACACTTAAACCTTCCCCATTCTGAACTGAGACTATTTTTGATGATTTGCTATTTTAAACGAGTACCGAGAGTTTTTTACGCTGGCTTTTTCTCTCGGCCTTCTTTGCCGTTGAGTAGGGACTAATAATTTAATGACTTGGATTAAGTGATACCTGTATCTTATAAATAAACATATTTTTTTTTATCATTTGTTAAATTAATATTATCACTTGCTCTGTATAATTTATAAAAATTAAAAAACTTGTATAAGGCACGAAGAATGTATCAAAATATAGCCACTTCTTCCTTGTCCTTCCACGTCTTTAACATTCTGTGTAGCATTGATTTTTTTACCTTATAAGCTCATCCAAAACGCAAACGGCACTTAAAATCACAGAAAAAACAAAAAAATCCTTCCCCATTAAATTCAGTAACATAATTACTGTATTTTTCTGTTTTATTTTTGTAAGTATCGTTAGTTTTAAGGATCAGTCATCAGACTCACCGTCTGCAAACACAAGTTACTAATTAATAAACCAAAGCAAAACCAAAACAATTTCAACTAATTAAAAAAAAATTTGACGTCTATGTCCAATTTTTTATTTATTTAGGTAGGTAGTAGTTAGGTAGGAGTACAAAGGAGGCTGGCAGACAGAATGTATCAAATAGTACAACTCCTAGCTCTCTCTATTTTCCTGTTATAAATATACATATATAGCTTAGCTTCCATGGCCCTTGAGCGGAAGTTGCGGGGGTGTACGCCAGTAGGACCAATAAAAAAAACCTTCCACTTTAATCATTATATAACACTAGATATGGATAAAATCCGCAATAAATATCATGCGGTAATTTTTGGTTTTATCGCGACTAGACGGGCAGATAATCGCGGCGTACAACGTTGATATAAAATACATATACATAGTCGGTCCCAAAGTTCTGTCATAAATGGAAATAATGATAAAAACAAAAGTACTGATCAGTTTGTAATGAGTGATATATCAATTCTTAGTAAATTAATTAAGGAATAAAAAAAGCATAAAAATATTCGAAATAACCTCCCTCATTTTTAATACAGGCCCTTAAGCGTCGCGGCCAGTCGTCTATCGCAGCACGCACCATATTCGTGTCCATTTCAGTCACTGGTTTTTTTAAAGATGACTTCAGATTCTCCAAATTTTCATGAGGTTTATCACAGACCTTCCTCTCTAAGCCCTGTCATAATTTCTGGTCCAAAGGATTAAGGTCCGGACTGGAGGAAGGCCAATCCTCATGTCTAATTAAGACGATGTTTTGACGCTCAAACCAGGCTTTAGTGGTCTTGGCTTTGTATGCAGACGCAGAGTCCTGTTGGAACACGAAGTGATGTCCCGCAAATAGGGTGCTGGACATGTCTTTGACAAGGCGATACAAAACCGTCTCTTGGTACACTGTAGCACTGGTTTTGACCCCCTTTTCGAAAAAATTAACCTCAGTTAGCCCGTAATAGGACACTCCCAACCAAACCATTACTGATGATGGATGATGTCCATGTTGCACCCTTGGAACTTTATTTTCAGCTTCTTCAGAACTCTTAGCGTACACTGTATAATTCTGTTTTTTGTACTTCTCTTCAATATCGAAATCTTTTTCGTCCGTAAAGAGGATATCACGGTGTCGGTTTTTCGCGTACCGCTTAAACAACACCCGCAATCTCTTAAGCCTTATTGCTTTTAGACGAGCATTAAGTAAGTGCCCACTCTTTTTTTGTATGCTCGTAGACCAAGATCTTTATTTAAAACCTTTTTTACTGTTTTCCTACTGACACCCATCTGCAAATCCATCAACTTCTGTTTTCGGACAGGATTTCTTACTATCCGCGCCTTGATAGCTTTGATTACTGCTGGTGTTCTTGCGGAGCGTGGCCAGCCAGTTCTTTTCTTGTCCTCAACACTGGAGACTTCAAGGTACCTATCAATAGTACCGTACACAAACCTAAGCGTTATATTCAAATTTTTGAGCAACTTGAAAATGGTACTCGGCGAGTGTCCACAGCGGTGCAACGCAATAACAACTGTTCGGTTTACTTTCAATGTCCACTCCATCGTGAAAAATTACGGAAAGTTATTGTTTTTTGTTTTAAAAAAATAATCAAACATTCCAAAATAGAATGCAATATTTTTTTTATAAAATCCTGCTCGAAATGTAGAAATAATGTGCTAGTGACAGAACTTTGGGACCAACTACGTACATATTATGATAAAAAAAGAGTAAAAGTTGTCAAAGTGACAACATGAAAAAAATATTTATGAGAATTTAGAAATAAAAATTGATTAAATTAAATGGAATATGATGCAAAATGATGATATTGAATGCGTAAAAATGGAAATAAACAAAAAACAAAATAAAATAAAATTACGTAAAGTCTAAGAAACGGACAATTTAATAGTGGTCAGACAAAATTTGCTTATGCCTAAACCTGAACCCTTTTTTCTCAGTGCTCTTGCTTGTGCTCTTTATACTTTTGCTTGTGCTCCTGCTTCTTCTTGTGTTGTGCTCCTGCTTTTGCTTGTGTTGTGCTCCTGCTGATGCCTGTGTGTTTATTTTATTTTCATCCTGTGACGAAACGAAGAGTTACCAAAACCAGCAGCCTTCATTTTTATTTTTGATCTTGTCCTATTTTTTGTTATGTGTCCTTTTTAAGTTACTTTTTTGTGTTTTTAAATTTGTTTTAAGTTATTGTTTTTTTTTATGTTAGTTTATTAACTGTTGTGAATGCAGGCCGTGACCCTATCTTGTGATGGCACGTCGATCGCGTCCCATACATGTACATTTTGCAACAAGTCTTTCAAATCTTTGAAAGGCCTCAAAATACACATTTCTAAAACACACAGGAACTGTATTAGCCAAACCAGTTCACTTTTAGAAATCCATCCCATTATTCCGAGTGCGCCTACTTTTGCAGCCAACGCTCCAACTCCTTTTCATACATTACTTAGCCATTTGAAAAATAGTATACCCATTGTTAAAAGAATCCCTCGCGGAGCACGAATAACTGTTGCTACACATTTGTCAAAATTAATCCAGAAATGTTATATAAGCAATTGTACTCAAGACTGGCAGAACTTATTTTTATTTTCATACAGTACACTACACATAATAAAAACTGATGAACCGAATTTATCCCTGACACAAAAGATAAAGAATAACTGTGCTGTAAGTTCCTCACCTTCTCCCGCACCTCTAATTAAACATGATGCCCCTTTTAATCGCAAAAAACTCATCGAGAACAAAATTTGTGACGGAGATCTTAAAGGTGCCGCTCGTCTTTTGTTCTCCAATGACGTGCTATCGCCAGATACGCCTGACACCCTTGAGGCATTACGGACTAAACATCCCCCAGCTCCAGTAAACCCATATTTTCTCGACCCACCAACAGCAGGGCAAGCATGCCTTAAAATTCGAAACAAAGATGTAACTGATGCAATTTTATCTTTTAAACCAGGTTCGGCAGCAGGATTGGATGGAATCTCACCCCAACATTTGAAAGATTTAACATCGCATTCTGTGGGTGATGCAGGCGAGCAACTTATTAACTCGATCACAAAATTAATAAATTTTATGTATTCCGGGGATGTCAATACAGAAATTGTTCCCATTCTTTTCGGCGCGAACCTCATTGCCCTCACTAAAAAGGACGGAGGGGTGAGACCAATTGCTGTTGGTTCAACACTAAGACGTCTGGCTTCCAAAATTGCTGTTCGACATATTTTACCAAAATTAAATTCAGAATTTGAACCTGTACAGTTAGGCTTCGGTGTGAAAGGAGGGTGTGAGGCAGCCGTCCATGCCCTACGCTCTTTCCTAAGTCACGGACAGCCAGACGTGTTGCTCAAAATTGATGTGAAAAAATGCATTTAATTCGGTAAATAGGGATACCCTGCTGACTGAAATAAAACAACATATACCGGAAATATACAATTATCTTCTTCTCAGTTACGCTGATCCAACTAAATTGTTATATCGTTCTAATGAACTTTCCTCGGAAGTAGGTTGTCAACAGGGTGATCCCCTTGGGCCTGCAATTTTTAGTTTGGCTATAAATCCCATAATCAAAAATTTAAATTCTAATTTCAATGTTTGGTATTTGGACGACGGAACCCTAGGAGGTGATGTGGATACTGTGTTTTCGGACCTTCTTTTAATCAAAAATAAATTTGAAGCCATTGGTTTGGAGCTTAATTTTAACAAATGCGAACTTTTCATAAATAACTGCGACTTAAATTTAAATGATGTAAAAAAAAAAATTTCAAATTTTGGCTCCAAATATTAAAATAGTTAACAGGAATTCCCTTTACCTTTTAGGTTCTCCAATTTTTAATGAATCTATTTCTGATTATATTCATACTTCAATTACTAAATTTCAAAATTCTGCTGACCGTCTCCTTGAAATTAGTCCACATTATGCACTTTGCATCTTAAAATTCTGTCTTTTCCTCCCAAAATTTACGTATGTGCTCCGTTGCTGCTCCTTTTGGAATCACCCAGATATTTTAACACCATTAGACGACTTAATCAAAATTAGCTTAGAATCACTTCTTAATATGCAGCTGAACGAGAAATCTTGGACCCAAGCTTCCCTACCCATCCGTTATGGTGGTTTAGGGATTCGCAAAATTTCCAGTGTCGCTTTACCAGCCTTTCTATCTTCTGTCCATAGTTCAGCAAATCTCATAAGTAAAATTTTAAGGGCATCCCCTTCAAACTTTGAGATTGCTGGCTTGGAAGAAGCTAGAAACGCTTTCTTGATTGCATGCCCAGGTCAAAATTTTCCATTATCTCTAAATTCACAGAGGAGCTGGGATGACATACACTGCAAGTTGACTTTTGACGATCTTTTGAATCGTAGTACGGGTTCGGCGCGTGCTAGGCTTTTGGCCGTGGGCACGCATGAGGCCGGCTACTGGCTTCACGCTTACCCATCGTCAAATACAGGAACTTTTCTTGAGCCTGACACGCTTCGAATCGCAACCTGTCTACGGCTTGGGGTTCCGGTCTGCGCTCCTCATATATGTCCCTGTGGCAGTGATGTCGACAAGTTAGGACATCACGGCCTGTCATGCCAAAAAAGTGCAGGCCGCTTCTCGAGACATGCCGCACTTAACGATATCATACGCCGTTCCCTTGCCACCGTCAACGTGCCAAGTCTTCTTGAGCCAAGTGGTATTGCAAGAGACGATGGCAAGAGACCGGACGGTATGAGTTTGATTCCATGGAAGATGGGTCGGGTACTGGTATGGGATGCAACCTGTTCAGACACGCTGGCCCCTTCCCATCTACATGGAACCAACTACAGAGCTGGTGCGGCTTGTGAAGCGGCTGAAAAAAATAAAGCAGGCAAATACAGGGGTCTGGGCTCTGAATATGATTTTGTCCCATTCGGTGTCGAGACCCTTGGTCCGTGGGGTCCTAGCGCTTTAAGGCTTTTTAAAGAAATTTCAAAAAGGTTAGTCGACATCACAGGAGACCGAAGATCTGGCAGCTACCTCGGACAAAGAATTAGTCTAGCAATTCAAAGGGGGAACGCTGCCAGTATCTTCGGAACCTTGCCTAAAGGGACTCCTTTTAATGATATATTTTAGTTTATGTTAAGTTTCGTTATTTATTTCAATGTATATTATTTTATTATTATTAGTTTATGTTTATAAGTTTAATTTTATTATGATGTCGTAATTATCAAGTTCTACAACTTTTCTCTTGGACTCAATAATACATTTCATGAAGGCTGCGTTCGTAAGAATTTCGTTCCAACCATTTTTTTCTCCAACTACCACGAAAGACTTCAAATTTCCCGGGTTAATATATAGTATACTAGCTGAGCCGGCAAACATTGTTTTGTCATGTATATTATTTCTAGGAAACATTTTTTTAGTTCAATAAAAATAACTATCTACTATAATAAAAAATAAGGGGTTGATCGTGGAGGGGGGGGGTGAAAATTAAGGGTTGTATGTATTTTTGTATGCTGTATCATAAAAATAAAAACAATAAAAAATTTGGGGTGGGCACCCCTTATCACTTAGGGGGTTGAAAGATAGATAGTAGCCGATTCTCAGACTTACTGAATATGCAAAAAAAATTCATGAGAATCGGTCGAGCCGTTTCGGAGGAGTATGGGAACAAACATTGTGACACGAGAATTTTATATATTAGATAACACTCATAAATAACGTGGCATTCTATTGGATTTTTTTTACAAAATCAGTTCAATACATTATAGACCCCCTTACTTCTTCATAATATTAGTATATATTCAATAATAAATAAAATCCTCAAAATAGTATGACTATATAGATTACACAAAATATACACATTTGCGCTACAACCTTTTAGGTCTGCGCCTCAGAACTCTTTATCTGTTTCGTGATTATTTCTAAAAGGCAAGTATACTTCGGTTTTTTAATTCCGTAGAATTCTGACAGCTATCATTTTTTTGACATGTCAGTGATGGCAAACCTTTTTGGCCAAGCACATTTATCAATTTCAATACGAGTCTGAGCATCTGAGTCTATACATACATTGTATGTGGTAATGTGGTTTAACAGCGAGTGGTAATTAGATAACATTTTTTTTAAAGGTTAACTAACCTTGAATTAGTAGGCAGTGATACCAGCTAAAGAATAAAATAAAGTATGTAACTAAAGTTAATTCGATATATTGTTCGTGATATTAAAATATTTGTTATTTTTGTATTAGATCACTTGAGTATGTAAATATTTAGATTTACCTTTTTGTAGGTAAAACATAAAAAATACGTAGCAATTTTTTTATTGCCCTCAAATAAGTCAAACTTGTCCCTTTTTCGGTGGAAAACTTTTTTAGTAGCAACACTAATGAAATGTCAGAATTCTACGGAATTAAAAAGCAGAGTATAGGTGATCAGCCTTCTGTGCCGGACACACCTTTGGGTCTAAGGCTTGCCGGTTACGATGTTTTCCATTACCGTAACAGCGAGTGGTATATGCGAACATAGACAGTAAGTCCATTACTGCACAGCCATTACCATGACTTCAATCGTAATCTTTTAACCTATAAAAGTTTTATGACTCCACATCGAGTCATAATATTTGCCACACTTCGCATGAATTAAATGTACAATTCATCGATGTTAATGGATTCTTAAACATGCTTGTACGATCACAAACATTCAGATAAGTTAATTCTAATACTTATTTGTTGGTTGGTCATTCGTAACACACACAGTTCTGCACCAGTTGCAGGGTTTTACGATTATTATTTCCCTTTCAAACCTTAAACTTTTGTTTTCGCTGTAGAAATGCACCCGATTAAACGTTATTGTATACAACATACTTTCTATATTCATTCAAACATTCCAACTCCGTGCCTCTAAAACTGTCGCTGTGTTCTTAAGACAAAATTAATTTTTAAATAAAGTGAATAACAAGACTCAGCTATGGGCTCGAAGCTACCCCAACCTCTAACCCTGAGTTACCTAAGAAAGACTTTTAAGTAAAAAACAAAAGATGACGCGCTTCGAGTGAGCATCATAAACAAGCAAGTTCGCCATATTTATGTATATAGAATATATTTAGTCATACTATTTTGAGAATTGTATAATACATATATGTATACCTTTTTTAAGAGTTAAATTAGATTAAATTTTTATTACTACATAATGAAACGTATTCGCCACAAGCGATGGCCAGATACACAGACAATAAGGAAATAAAATTTTAACTTCAAACTCTTAGATGTACTATAGACTATAGACGTACACCATTATTTTCTAAATAATAAGAATATTATAATTATAAATACAACACACCTTGCTCTTATCATCAGTAACGAAAAACACAGCTTCCTTCTTATCCGCATGGACCTCTTTGAGCACTGTCTTGTAGTTCACGTTGATTCGTTTCTTCTTGACGACTTCCATGAGGACATCAGCATATTTCTTCACACCGAAAATTACTGGGAGACAAGTGTTGTATGTAATGTTTACCCGCGAGCGAATTGCCGTCTGAAATGTTAATTTATCATTTATATCATGGTAAGAATAAGGCTTCTCTACTCTGGCATCGGATTGTTTTTAACTTTACGAACGTCTATTGTTAGTTATTTGAACGGAGCGTTAGAACAACTCAATAATCATAACCATTTACTTTTGTATCTTTCAAACGCAAAGTACGAATAATCATCCGAGTAATAATTAATTATTAAAATTCAAAATATAAAATAAAATAATATAAACCGGACCTATATAGGTATAAGAATCACGACCAAGACGCAAATTTAGACAATTCTGAAATATTTTTAATTATATGAAAAAATTGTTTCTGTAAATAATTATAAAGTAGGGCCGTCCCAAAAACAACTATAAAATATACAACTGTACAAAACAATAAGCAATTGTTACACGTTTATTAATAGATGTGCTACCACAACAGCGATAAAGTATAGTTCGTAACGTATTGTAATTAAAACAGTATTATGCATTCGAATTTCCTATTTAATTTTAATTATTTAACCAAAGGAATTTATGTTTAAAAAATATATTACAAATTGATATTTTTATTGGTTATGAGTCATAACATACAGATACCGGCAAACATCTTGAACATTAAACAAGGGAGTGGGATAAAGTTTGCGCAGCGCGGGACACAAACGTCAACTGATTTACCAATCACGCGATCGATACGTCACTCTCCCGCCGCCGTGAAACAAATTCAGGACATTATATTTATAACATATATGTTTAAGATATCTTGTATGTGTAATGTGTATGTTATGTTTCCTTGTTGATAAATAAATAGAAAATATTTTTTCAAGAAACAGTATCTTAATGTTAAATATAATTAAACAAATCGTGTAAGGCTGGGTTAGTTTTTGCAACCCCAGTCTTAACAAAAGATGTAAGGCCTCTGTAGATGGTTCATTAACATGTCCATTTCTTAAAATAATTTATTCTACCATGCAAGAATACAAATTTATAAAAATACCTTATCAAAGTACGCATCTGCCATGTATGCGATCTTTTGTGGAGCACCCGGGCATTTTATTGGCGTATCCGGGTATGTGAACACTGCCTCACCACCTTTGAAGTTACGGATGTCATTCCAGGTTTTCTCACAATAGTCAGGAGAATATATCGTTGACACACAACTGGCTTTATCGTTCAAGGCGTCTCGGAGGCCGGGAACCTAAAAATTTAAACCGCTATTTAATAATGATCTTATTATCTTTCGTTTACGCGAAGAAACATTTAAATGAGAGTCTCTTTCCACTGCACTCGAAACGTCGAACTATATTAATAATGTGAAAAAATTGCGCTTGTTTTAAGTAATATATGATTCTGGTCTAAAATAAATGATTGTTAAAATGAAAACTATAAAAAAATTAAAAAGTATTTAGTTTGAATTATTTTAAAATCGGACCGTAAACCGTTCACATAAGATTTCTAAATAAATCAAATAAATACATCGGTATCTTGTAATATATTTATGTCTCTGTGTATTTGTATTACAAAGTAAACCAAAATTATTTCGGGAAACATGACGCATCACGAACTTGTTGATTAATCGAGTGAATTATCGTGACTTGAATTCTAAGAAGCCTTTTGTATTTGTGATATTCAATTGTTTAAGGTCATTTTTTTTAAATAAGCGGGTATACGAAGGTAATTTTGTCTAAGAATTATCTACATATAAATACTTTATTAAAATATTTATAATATTTTAAGATTATTTTTCCTTTTTCAGTAGCTATAAAGAACCGATCAAACCAAATGATTAAACGAAAAAACAGGGAATTAAACAACTTATTATAACACCATTTCATAAATTTACTTTTTAATGACAAATATTTATCTTAAAGGAAAATATTTTTTTGGCTGTAAAAGTGTAGTGAAGTTTTTTTTATTATAACATAAACACATATCAATTAATGACACAAAAATCATCTCTAGTTCTCAATGAATTGGCAATGCTCCAAAAAGACAAATATGATTGCGTCATAATATGCATGATCATCAAATAAACGAGTTAGAATTATTCAAGGTTATATTTGCAAGTGTTTTAACATAAAACTTTATACTATATCAATGCATCACGCAAATTAGCATAGAACAAAATCAGCTAGCCTAATCGGGCTATTATAGTATAATTAGTGAGTTAGAAACATGAAGTTTTTTTTTAAACGACTACTTTTTATTTCTATAAAATAACGGACAGTTGTTAAAAAAGTTAACAAAAGAATACAGTCATTCACAATAGCTCATAACAAAAATCTCGTATGATAATAAAAATTTAATTATAATTTGCAAAGTAACCCACTAAACTGATTCCAATAATATGTTTTACTATGACCAAAGATATCACAAATAACACGTATTAGAATGGCTACGACAATTACCATGTCCATTATAATTTCTATTACAAAAACGGTCATTTTACGTTAGTAACGATATATAGTGTGTGCAGTGTGTGAGAACTAAACAACTTAAATGCATGTTGTTCAAACAAGTATGTTTGAACACTAAAGTGCCCTGTACTTCCCCTGTTATTGGTTTTGCGATACGTCCGGTGACTATAACGAAAATAACCGTAATTGCTTGTAAAGTTACTATTGATTACTATACTACCCAAGTCTGTCAAAATTATTGTACACCTTTTACTAACAACGCGAGAGAAAAAACAAAGAATTCGAAATTATATGCAAATATTGTAAAGAAAAAGACTTGTATTTTCACCATTAGAAATCTAGTACCACCATAGGCTTATTTTCATGTTTTCAAAATGGAAGTTGGCACAGGTTGTTAGATCATATATCCAGTTCACATACCTTATCATAATCATACTGCAATCCGACACCGATAACTGCATAATCGTAGTTAATTTCATGACCTTCAGCTGTTCTAACGACATTGTTCTTAGCATCTATACATTGCGCGGTATCTTTGACCCAAGTTGCGTTGGAGGGTAGAACACTCTTCGCACTACGCCGTGTCGCTGCCACTGAAGTCACTCCGGCCCCCACGAGAGTAAATAGTGGTTGATAGTAATGGTCCTGAAAGATCAGTCTTTAAACAACACATATTTGGTAGTTTAAACAAAACACAATCATTTGACGAGTTCTGGGATTATAGAGAACAATTTTTAAACGCAGGCGTCATGTTAATGTTAATTATCGTTATGCTGGAAATCGATAAGCCCCATGTCTTTGATCCACGGCAACGGGATACAACGGGTCTTGGTATATTTGTGATTCTTTAAATAATGAAAATCACGTAATTTGCTAAGTATTAAACGTATACTTTTGATTTGGATTTGGGAGACTATATTTTATGTTTTAAATAGGAAATAAGTGTCGGTCCTCGTAATTTTTTATTATTCCATACTATGGGTGGAAAAGATCTCTTAACAACGATAGCGCCATAGTATCGCAACTTCATCAAAACCGTTACACGATCAGGTTCAAAAAATAATTTCTAGTTCTTATCGTGTGTGATGTAGTAATTTATTTACTGCCCCAATCAGCCCCGTATTTGAAAAGAGAGAGCCTCTTATAATAGAGACTTTAATCATAAAAGAATCTATACTTGGTTACACAATAAATTATTTATTGAAAAACTCGACTGAAACATTTTTTGAGACCTCCACCTCCTTCTTTGTTGCCCCGAGGCTTACAGAACTCAAAAACGGTATTGTCCCTAAATATTTAAATTATTCATTAAACATACGTATATTATCGTCAAGTTTACATATTTTACATACAGGTATTATTTTTATACTGACATTGATAACTTTGATAAATGGTGATAAGTGATCAATATTACGCAATCGCCGGCTGCACGTAGTATGACTATGAGTTATTTTTTATTTATCACTATGTCAAGAGCTTGGTTTATCAAAAACAGTCCAATGGGGCTTGAGGGCTTGCCTTTGCTTGGGAATGAAGGCACATATGCCTTTATTCCCAACACAAATCTTGTATTGCTGGGAACCAAACCCAGGACAGCATACAGCACATACACCTAAGTCACAGAACCAGCCAGAAGCCATGTGTTTTATAAGTTGATTGAGTCCTAGATTACTTACCGAGACAATTCTGGTTGTTAATAATCTACCTTGTAGAATATACTCCATATTCTGGTGGTGCTCTATGTTAGTCTTTTAAACAATTTATGATTGCTTAGTAACACAATTCATGTAATATACAAAATGATAATTATCTTGCTGCTAGTCTATGCACTACACATAATACAGTTGTTAATGTAAAGTCTCGGATGCTTTGTAAATGAAAATGCAGCTATTTCGGCAGTTCAAAATTTTAATTGAGCTTTAATTTAGTTACCTAATACACAAATGTCTGCTGTACTAAGTTAACTAGTTACATAATAATAATTAACTTACAGGACTTGGCTCCAAAACAATGACAGATCCTTTTTTTAATCTCCTAGCAAACTTTGCAGCTATTGTGCAACCTCCCGATCCACCCCCAATTACTAGCACTTTACATCTATAAAAAATACATACTGATAATATCACTAAGATTAGTGTAAATAATAATAAAATTTGTACTATTTAAAAGAATAAAATAGACTCTACCTTACCCAAAAGAATAAAAATAACTTCTGCTTACCAAAACTATTTACAGTTATAATTTCAAAATATAAAAGGCCAATAATTATAAAATGTAGTAATTTATAATCAGTTTATTATCGACTTAAGTGCATTAAAATACATATATATATATAGTGCATAATAATAATGTAAAAAGTTTGTAATGCTTAACAGATTTATCTGTTAATATAAATATATGAAAATAAAACTAAAACTGTAGTAAAACCACCCAAAAATAATACTTACGAATGCTTTGCGTTCTGAACTGCAGAAACAGAAAAAAACCTTAATGGAGCAATTTTTGTTTGATAACTGATCCTACATAGAGAGTTCATCATGATTGCTATGTCATCTAATAGTTAAAATATTTGAAGTTGCCGGCAAGACGTCAAGATGAATACTATAGCGGCCTGCAGAGCCAGTCTGTATAGCTAGTAGCGACTGGCGACTTGCTGATATCAAGACTAGTTGAGACTGTGCTGATATACTATCAGATCGAAGGCGGCCTCCATGAATATAAACGATGTCAGTTATCTATTACCCAGATTCTTGAAAGACACAACTTACAAATTTTATAATCCACAAATTAAATATTATTACTTATTTGGTTTGACTTTTAAATCGCTGTGTATTATATTTAATGCAAATGAATTAATTGAAAGTAAGGTATTGAAACTTGAGAATTGACAGTTGAGTGATTATTGTTTGAAAACATAGGTCATAGACGGATATGCCTTGATCACACGTACTGTTTTTTCGGCGTCGGGACGTGACGACCCCATCGCCCACTGGTGAAATAACCTGTGACAGAGGTTATTTCATCAGCGCAATCAGTCAACCCCTTCCTAGTGGGAGTGCCATGCTGTTGCCTTCGGGCTTCAGCCAAATGGGCAGGCACGACCGGGGCAGTACCACTGTCTCTCAGAAAACCGGCGTGAAGTGATGCAAAAGGTTCGCCTTCTTGTACTCGCGTTTCGTGCGGTGAGAGAGATTCCCGGAACCCATCCCCCCCACAAGAAATATGAAGGTGCAGAAAAAACAGAATCTACCCCACGGGGGTACCACACGCACTCGCGGTGGAGAATCCCCCTCTGGGCGTCCACAACCGGGACACTCAGCACCCGTTGGTGGACGCACAGGCTGCCCTTCGTATTCTGGGGGGGGCAATTCTGCGCTCTACGAAAATAGTAATCGTCCTCAGGGCAAACGGAGCAATTATACAAAGGCACCCCCGTCCACACTCGCCGTGGACTTCACAAATGTTAGGGGGCTTAATTCTAACATCAACGCTGTCCACTATCATCTAGAGACTGCGAAGCCGGCCTTGCTCTTTCTTACCGAGACTCAGATATCCTCCCCGGCTGATACTTCCCACCTATCCTACCCGGGGTACAAATTGGAACATTCATTTGTGCCGCGGGCTGGAGTTTGCGTGTACGTCAGAGAGGATATCTGTTCTCGTCGCCTCGGGACGCTTGAAGGAAGGGACCTATCTAACCTCTGGCTGTGCGTAGACTGCGATGACCATCCGCGATTCTACGCATGCCTGTATAGGTCCCATAGCGGAAATACCGAAACTGACCGACTCATTGAGCACATCCAAATGGCTACAGATTCCCTGCTCGAAAGGGTTCCTACCGCTGAAATCGTGATACTTGGCGATTTTAACGCCCACCATGCCGATTGGCTCGGCTCTGAAACCACCTATCACGCGGGAAGATCCTTTCACGACTTTGCTTTAGCCTACGACCTGACACAAATGGTCCCTGCGATTACGCGAATACCAGATGTGGATGGTCATAAACCCTCTTTGTTGGACCTTCTGCTGACTTCACATCCGGAGAACTATCAAGTCTCTGTTGACCCGCCATTGGGTTCATCGGATCATTGTGTGGTCCGGAGTACTGTGCCATCTACGCGCCCTTCACGGCCCCGCTTTATGGGTTGTCGCCGTATTTGGCACTATAAGTCAGCAGATTGGGACGGGATGCGGTCTTTCTTTGCGTCCTACCCTTGGGGGCCTATGTGCTTTTCGCCGGAAGCTCCAGATTCCGTCGCCGCCTCTGTCGCCGAAGTGGTTCTGCAGGGCATGGAACTCTTTATTCCATTTTCTGCGGTGCCGTCTCAGCCCTGGTTTAAACGTTCTTGCAAGGCGGCCTCGCGTCGAAAGCGAGAATGCTTTAAGGCATGGGCGGAAGCGGCGAAGTCTCGTGATGCCAATACCAGCGAACTTAAAAAAGCATATAACTCAGCCTCCAGGTCCTTCAAACGGGAAATCACTAAGGCAAAGTCAGAGCACATTGCCAGATTTGGCGAGAGATTGGCCCAACTAACTTCAGGGACTCGAGCCTTCTGGTCTCTCGCCAAAGCTGTCCAAGGGAATTTTTGTCAGCCCGCCATTCCGCCACTGCACAGGGAGGATGACTCTCTGGCCCACACTGCGAAGGAGAAGGCTGACCTTTTGGGCTGTCTCTTCGCATCCAACTCGACTTTGGATGACCGAGGGAGATCACCACCGACCATTTCGCGGTGTGATTCTTCGATGCCGGAAATCACATTCCGGCAACGTGCTGTCCGCAAAGCACTATCTTCCTTGGACATTCATAAGTCGAGCAGGCCGGATGGTATCCCCCCAATTGTGCTGCGTACTTGTGCTCCTGAGTTGGCTCCGGTCTTAACGCGCCTTTTCCGGTACCTGTACTCGCTCGGCACTGTCCCGAAGTGCTGGAAGACCGCTTTGATACATCCGATCCCTAAAAAAGGCGATCGCTCTGATCCGTCCAACAATTGCCAGCTCTTGAGGTATCTAGAGGGCCACCAGCTGATAAGCGATTATCAGTACGGCTTTCGTCGTGGTCGTTCGGCTGGTGACCTTCTTGTATACCTTACACATAGATGGGCAGAGGCAATTGAGTCCAAGGGGGAGGCGCTAGCGGTTAGTTTGGACATAGCGAAAGCCTTCGATCGGGTGTGGCACAGAGCACTGCTCTCGAAGCTTCCAGCCTATGGGCTTCCCGAGAAATTACGCGATTGGATCTCCAGCTTTCTGGCCGATCGGAGCATCAAGGTCGTCATCGACGGAGCATGTTCCGACCTAAAACCCGTAAACGCTGGGGTCCCACAAGGCAGTGTTCTATCCCCGACCCTATTTCTTCTGCATATCAATGATATGTTGAAACTTAGCAACATTCATTGCTATGCGTATGACAGCACTGGGGATACTTTTTACACTGGCCGGGCAGGTATTTTTCGGGCAGTTGTTGATGAGTACCGGAACAAACTTGTGTCTGAAGTCGAAACTCTACTACGTGGAGTCTCAGATTGGGCAGACAAAACCTAGTCCAATTTAACCCCAAGAAGACACAAGTTTGCGCGTTTTCCGCTAAAAAAACACCCTTTGTCGCTACTCCTCTTTTCGAAAACACTCTTCTTAAAGCCACAGCCAGCATTGGAATACTTGGCGTTGACATATCGAGCGACGTTCAGTTTCGCGGTCACTTGGAGGGAAAGGCTAAATTAGCCTCCAAAAAGCTTGGTGTGCTCAGCAAGGCGAGACGGTACTTCACTCCGGGCCACCGCATGCAACTATATAAAGCGCAAATTCGGCCCCACATGGAGTACTGCTCTCACCTCTGGGCGGGGGCTCCCCAGTACCAGCTCCTTCCACTTGACCGTATACAACGCTGAGCGGTTCGAATCGTCGACGAACAACCCCTCTCTGAGCGGCTTGATCCTTTGGCGTTGCGTAGAGATGTGGGGTCACTCTGCATCTTCTACCGCATTTACCATGGAGAGTGTTCAGAGGAGTTGTTCGGATTAATACCTGCAGCTGAGTTTCATCATCGGACGTCGAGGCAGAATACGAAATTCCACCCGTATCACCTCGACGTCCGCCGTTCCACAACTGAGCGTTTTTCAAGGCAGTTTTTGCCGCGCACCACCACTATGTGGAACCAGCTGCCCACTGAAGTATTCCCGAACCAATTCGACTTAGGGTCCTTCAAGAAAAGAGCGTACCAATTCTTAAAAGGCCGGCAACGCACTCGCGAGCCCTCTGGTATTGAGAGTGTCCATGGGCGGCGGTATCACTTAACATCAGGTGAGCCTACTGCCCGTTTGCCCCCCGTTCTATAAAAAAAAAAACCGAGCAAACCGGCGAGACAGTACTCTCGGTCGAGCACTCGGTACGTATAAACATAGCGCCGAGTGCTCGGCCGAGCGCTCGGCCGAAAGAAGTGGCGAGACAATAGCTCGGCTACCGTTCTACTTACTAGACCGAGTGACTACCCTCCCGCTTCCCCGCACTGTCTCGCTCACTCACTCGGCAGGTTTGAACGTACACTGTCTCGCCGCTCGCCACTCGGCCACATGACACACTGGGCTGGGGACACTTGATCCCCTATTTTTATTTTTATTGTTAATTTTTTTTTTTTTTTTTTTGCCGTCGTTGAATGTATTATACTTCTCAGTTTAGAAATTCAATATTTATCAAACATTCGAAAGAGGCCAATTTATTAATATATTTCGGGTAATAAATTAATAAATAATCAACTCTTCCTGATATAATATCAGGGAGAGTAGTTTTCGGCCCAAATATCATGAAAAAATACCAGTTCACCATACATTTGGGAGATTTCTACTGTTGTTAAGGATTAAAATATCTATAACATTCTTAAAATATGTCCCCTAGGGATAATTTTTTATGTTTTCTAATGAAAATTAATGAAAATTTCTAATAAGTAATTTTCTAAGGAATGAGTAACTTTGTATATTTTCTAATTATCTTTTTACGATCCATCTTGTCCGAATTGTAGTCTCAATAGAACTGGATGATTTCAAAATGTGTGTGAACAGCTAGTCGCTTACTACACTGTTTCGGCCGAGAAACATTTTACTGTCTCGCCGGTTTGCTCGGTACGTGTGATCAAGGCAATACTGATAGTCAACGTAGACTTTCAATTTCTATATTGGGCATGAAAGTTTAATTCTTAATAGAGTTACTAATTAATATTCATAATAGCTTAATGTTTCAAATGTTAAAGACATATTGATGAAATGAAACGAAATTAAATTTGAATAATGTTTGATTTTTGATTTGATTGAATAAGGTACATCAAAATTTAAAAGCTTAAAAATTAACCATGAGTGTGTGTAAAAACGTATCTTGGGTTAATTTAATGAATTTTCATTTTTCCGGCATCGGGATGTGACGACCCCATCCGCCATCGCCCACTGGTGAAATAATTAATAACCTGTCATAGAGGTTATTTCACCAGCGCAATTTGTCAACCTTCTTCCTAGTGACAGTGCCATGCTGTTGTTCTCGGGCTTCAGCCAAATGGGTAGGCACGACCGGGACAGACCAAGGTCTCACAGAAAACCGGTGAGTGTTTCTCGTAGGTTGTAGCAGTTGTCAATTGTCAATTGACATCATCTGTCTACTCTACTGAGTACTATAAATTTATAGTCTATACTCTATAAGTCTATAGGTATTTTTAATTTTATTTTAATTGAAAATTGAAATAGATAAAATGGCGGAAGACGACGAAATAGATATTCTTGGTGATTTTTCTTTCAATTCTTGCTTTGCTCAAAATAATCAAGGAATGTAAGTTTTTTCTTAAGTACGTTATAATACTTATAGGAAAGCCTTATTATTATTAGATCCAACGTACGTTACATTTATGTAATTTTTCATTGTTGACAAACTTCCAAACAAACAAAAGTTGTTGTGTAAGCAATAACATTAGCATATTAATGTTACGATGTTACAATTATTGTAACTCATATCTGGGGTCTAAGCCTAGGGTGTTAAATGTTAATTGTCATAATTTTCTTTTAAAGTTTTCATTTCGATCGTATTAATGGAAATATATTTTATCAACAGACCTTCATGTTCAAGTCGTGAAGACACTGTCCACCCACAGTGGTTGCTGGATTCACCTGCTACAAATTGGTATGATAGCAAGAGTAAAAATAGGTAAGATTGCTGTTGCAATGCAAAGACAGTGAAACAACTAATATTACCTATTAAAAATAATGATTCCCAGCTTCATACAATATATATATACACATACATTTATTTTATTTCTTAATATTAAATGCTTATTTGTTTTGTAAAGGTCAAAAGAAGGTCCACCAAGGAAGCTCTGTGGCACAAAATCTTTTCAAAAGAATAATTGTGATGATGCACATGGAGTTGCATGGAGTCAGGAAGAAAGAAATCTTCTCAACAGAGAAATGGTAATATAAGAGTTTTATTAAACAAGAGCTTACATTCATAATTAATAAAATATTTATTATAATTTTTTTTAATGACTTTCCAGGAAAAGCATGGCCGAAACATTATGTTAATATCACAAAAATTGAAATCAAAAACAATAACTGAAATTCAAGCTTTGATTGATGCAGAGTATGGTATTAGTTTGGACACATCTTGGGAGAAACATAACAACCTTGATCACATACCTTATGTAGAACAAGAAGAAATAATATCTGAAGAAGGCTGTATATCAGAGGCTATAAATAAGGTTACCACTGGCTCTCCGACTATCACTGTACCTAAAATATTCAGAAAAACATCTAAACAACAAGACAATTATTTAAATTCAACTGCCCACAAAAATTCTCATATTAATCAAAACAACAATCTACAAATTACAAAACATATGGAGAAAATAAAAGCTGTCAAAAAGGTTGGGAATCATAGAAGAAAAGTATCTAAAAATTATGATAAAAGTATTTCCCCAGCACGGCTTAAAAATAATAGCCATTCAGAAGAGAGTTTAAAAAGCCCAAAACTTCAAATTGTATTGGGTTCTGGTCAAGCCTTACCAGTTTCTGAAGGAGAACAAATAGTAAGTATATATATGTCACCGTAAAATTGTAAACACCATTAGATTGTAATCTATCTCGCGAGATTGTGAACTGTCGAAAGATTGTGAACCTCAACGTACTGCTTACAATTTAACTTATTATTATTAGGTAGATTGTATCTATCGAAGTGAAACTGTCAAATTGTGAAACAAAACTCGTGCTGATTGGTTGAACGGAATATGCCCCGCGCCTCCATATTTGTTTGTTAATTCGTTTGTTGTCGAATGTAAATTGATTGTTTTGATGAATGTAAATTGATATCGTGTTGAAAGTAACTCACAGCTTTAGAATTAGTTATATGAAATTGTTAAAAAATATAAGTTAAAATTTGTATTTCTAATAATCCTAACAGATCAAAATAGAAAAGAAAAAAGATTCAGAACCAGAGAGTGACATAGAAATTGATGTGGACAGTGACACAGAGGCACAGCCAATGAAATCTCAGGAAGCCAAGGTTTCTGATAAAAAGAATGACAATGAGCCCATAGCCATACCACTAAGAAAGTTGGAAATGCCAAAAAGGAGGAGGAAGATCAACTTGGTAATTAGTCATGCTTTATTAAAATAAAAGTGCCTTTATTTAGAATCATGTTGCATATAATACAGTACATATTGTATGCATTGATGTTTTAATTAACATTGTTTGCCTAAGGTTGTGAGCCTCAAACCACAGGTCATGTATTAAAGACACCGCTGGGCACTAATTAACTTTTCTTATTATTTACACATGTAACGTTATTGTTAATTTCTTGTTTTGTATCGTATATCTTTTTATATTTTGTTATTGGACTTAGTGTTATTATTCTTTTCATCCTTTCAGAATGGAGGTGGAGGTTACCGTATTATGCACACTGAAGCAGGAGATTTGTATGAAATTAGCTCAGAGCCACGTAAGGAAAGACAACCTCGAAAACCAACAGTACAACTCATACAGTGCAAGAAATATGGTGTTGATAAACCAGTGAGTAGACAAGAAAAAATATTACAGAAATATAATTTTTTTTAAATAATTTTTGGCTTTAACCAAATTCCCTCAGCTTTGAGTTGCTGTCACTATCACTGATTTTCAGTGGGTCCATAGAATTTCAGATCCATTTATAATCAAAACTCAAGTAAAAGTGAAAACATCATGGATATTCAAAATTATAAAATCATTTATTCATTTAGGTAAAACAATGTTCACTTATTAACGTCAATAATTTACATTTACTGACAGTACTCAAATCAAGAGCGTAGAACGGACGAGAAGAACTGGCAATAAACTCTCCGCCACCCTTATATGTAATAACATTAATTTTTAGGCACCATGTGAATTACAACTACATGTATCAGTATTACTAAGTATGGACATTCATGCCCATACATCGCGGGCTGAAGTGATGGGCCTTTTGGGAGGTCAACAAGTGACGTCAGGCCTACTGCTTTGCGCGTACGCAGTGGCCAGGGCTGCCGCTAATAGTACACATTGTGATATGGATCCTGGTGAGTGTATTATATGTTTGTTTTAATTTAACATACACGACACCCTTTACCAAAGTCGAAGTAATGGATCGCAAATGATAGTGGTTTTGTTGTCAAATCAGTGAAGATTGTAGAGCAGTTTTTAAATAACTTACAGTAGTGTTTTGCTCGCCCCGGCAGGTGGCGCTAGAGCGGGCCGTCCGTACTGTCCCTTCCAGTACTTATTACAGTAATAAAGTATTTCCCTAGACATAATTACGTTTAATGTTTTTTTTTATTTCAGTTTCGCAAGCCTCAGCCGGCGAATATCTTACAGCTCAGGGTTTGTCAGTCTGTGGTTGGCATCACTCACATCCACAATTTCCAGCGCTACCCTCAAAGCGAGATCTTAGTACGCAGCGCTCGTTGCAGGATGCACTTGAGTGGCGCTTGCCCTTTCTAGCCTTAGTGACGTCACCGGCGCCGGCTCCGCATTTCAGGTAACAGAATTTAAAAAAATCTGAAAAATTCATACAACTTTGCACAATAGCCTCTCAATTAGTGCTAACTAAATTTTATCGGATATGATGTTAAAACAGTAAGTACCTTGTATTATTTAAAATGTATAGAAATTTATAATCTTGATTTGTTGTTTCAGATGTTTCCGCGTAGAAGACTCAGAAGACAAGGAAACGCCAATAGGATATCAACTAGAAGTTAAATTAGTTCCTGACCTAACTATAGAAACTCTACCAGACTATGTACGCGGTTTGAAACAACTCCTAAAGGATGTTGAGAGAACTGAACATAGCATTGATTTATCTAAAGATGTCTGCCCCCACACTGGAGTTGGTTATTTGGATAAGGTATGTTTAATAATTATAGTGTTTTATTCAATTGACTTAAAAACTCTTTGTGGAATCTTAGTGTGAGCATAATATAATATTTTGACTGTTTTATAGACAACTCCTGATCTACACAAACTTACTCTATTATATATTTGTGTTAAAAAAATTAATTGCAACTTTTCCATCTAGTGTATATGGAGTGTATCACGCCACATGCGGACAGCAGGATACGAGGCTGACCATCCAGTGCTCAAGCAACTCATACAAGATGTGCGGGACATCTTTAGATAGTCCTACCTGTCAGAAAGAATAGTGTAGTACCTGATTTTATGTACATTAATGTTATTTAAAAGAATGTAAATACTGTTAATAAACTTGGGTTATGACATAATTGAAATTTTTACTTTGCACCATGAAGAAATGTAGTGCCTCCAGGGTAGTTGCCATGCCTCAGCACTATAACATCTCGCCATGTTCTGGTCGTATTAAGAAACTACTAAAAATTATATACATCGAATTGTCAACGTCCCGATGATTTTTGATTTGATTAAAAAATTTGATTTCCTTCGTCAGCTAAAAAAATATGTTTGTTATTGTATTGTCTATAGCTAAAACTTGAAACAATGCCTATTTACTCACAGAGTAAATAGGCATTTGAATTTTGAAAAATTATAGGTATAAATTATTAGTCGTTGTCCGTTGATGTCAATTTTCAAGCAATCGCGCCATTTAAAAAGTTTTTCAAAGTGATAAATTTCGCCTTAATTTTCCTAACTGAACAAGTCTTATTATTATTGTTGTAATAAGAAATTATCTCGCATATGTATTAGAGTCTGAGAAACTTTTTATTTTATTAATATTGTTTAGTTGTTAGTTTGCACACATGTACTGAGATTTGCGTAATTATTGCTTTTTTCAGCCATTAAGGTCTTCTGCAATTTGCAAAGAAACACGTGCAACACTGTTGCGATTCTTATTAAAGTGATATCTAAAATAAATCACAATGATAGACGTATTTTTACCAATTCGATCATTTTTCAAGTTCGGCAGCGTGTGTACTGATAATAATGTGTTTCGCATGCACTATAAAGCTACGGTCATTATGTTGCTCGTGTTTATGCTATTGGTGACATCGAAGCAGTTTTTTGGTGAACCTATTCATTGCATGACCCAGGATAAGTCTGACGATAACAAAGAAGCTATCAACAATTACTGCTGGATCTATGGAACCTACACCCTGAAGAGTCGATTTTTAGGTAGGTACTTACCCAAAGATACTAAAATGTTAAACTTAGTTATAAATACCTATATTACGTTAAGGTGAGAAGAACGCTATGTCTATTACAAAACGCCATCATTGGAGTACATATTAAATTAATATTCTTATAGAGCTTATGAGTAGTAGCATACATGTATTCTACATGAGAGTAAAATTGCGCCTTTCCGTAAAGATAAGCAATAGTTACTTGTAGAGCTATATATTTAAAAAAAATATTTAAATGGAGGGTTTCTATAAAAGAACTTTCAATTTCAAGTTCTTAACATTTATTGCTATATTTGAATGTTTGTAATCTTATTTAAAAGATATTTTCATAATTTAGGAGTCGAAGGTAGAGACATGGCCTATATTGGTGTAGGGCCTGAAAAGGGCGAGCAAAACGAGCAGTTAAAACATACATATTATCAATGGGTATGCTTTGTTTTACTGGGACAAGCTATGATGTTCTATACACCAAGATATCTTTGGAAGATCTGGGAAGGTGGTCGTTTAAAAGCACTGGCATCTGATTTAGGTAATTATAATACCAAATTGTATATTATAACTAGTATAAGACCATATTGATTATTTAAACTGACACTCTTTAATCTAAAAAAATTGTAATTAAAAAAATCTTATTAAATACATTTTTATTTTATTTTAATATAGTTGTTAAAACTGACCAATATTTAATATGGTTACTGCTAAACAAGGTTATTCAATTTTTCAGCTAGTCCAATGATGACCAAAGACTGGTCCGAGTTTCGTCGTGCGGAGAACTTGTAGGGTATTTAACATATACACATGTCTATACACATAACATGTATGCACTTCGGTATGCATTTTGTGAAATACTCAACCTGGTCAATGTTGTAAGTTAATTTATTTTAAATCATGTTTTGGTATTTTTTTTAGCAACTTTTTAACAAAGCTTTTGCTTAAAATTTTTGAGAAGGGACAATAATTTTATACAGAATACTGACACTATTGTCAGATTTTTTAATAAAATTTGATATTTGGGGTTTTTTAATAAAATTAGATTTTTTTGTTTAATGTAGGTTGGACAAATTTTTCTTTTGGATTTATTCCTTGGTGGTGCCTTCAGGGATTATGGCGCAGGCGTCGCAGCATTTACTCATGTACCTAAAGTGCCGTCCAACTTTATTGATTATGACTCCGTAAATCCAATGGATGCATTTTTTCCAAAAGTAACTAAATGCTTTATAAGGATGTATGGTCCATCAGGGACTATACAAGTGAAAGATAGACTATGTGTTTTACCATTAAATATTGTCAATGAGAAAATATTTGTAATACTATGGTTTTGGCTTATATTTCTGGCTGCTATGTCAATTGCCGCTGTAATTTTTCGAATCCTTGTGTTGTCTATGCCACCCATCCGCATTTATTTAATTATGGGTCAAGTAAGATGTGTAAAACACAAGGTAGTTTCAAAAATAGTTAAGCGTTTCAGCTTTGGTGATTGGTTCCTGTTGTATATGCTTGGCAAAAATATGAATCCCATTGTATACAAAGACTTAATCATAGAACTTTCTAAGGACTTAGAAAGTAGATCTCTAATGGTTTAAGTCACTATTGCTGCACAAAAATATTGGAAACAAGTTCCTCAATGATTACAGGGTTTAGTAATATATGGTTGAAATATTATAAGAAAAGTTTTGGTTGTATTTTTAATTATAAGGTTAATTAAGATCTCAAAAAGTTCTTTCATTAAGAAAGTTTATTTTAAGTTGCATTATGCAAAGTACAATTCTTTTTTTTTAAATTGAAGTGTTGAGCTTACTACTTCATAGTGTTGTTGATCTCAGAACTTTTTATTAGTTATAATAAATAATTAATACATAGTACAGTTAAGCAAACGTAAAGAGTGGTTATGATTATGGAGAAAAAAGACAATAAATAGCAAATTACACAAAATGATTCTTTAATTTAGTCTTAATCACTGTTTATACAAAGGTTTGTTTAAGTAGTGTTTGCGGGTTTAAAAAAACAATGTTGTTCTAAATTACATGTGTTAAGATATTTTGGTTAATAAATAATCTAAAAAAATACTTTTTATTTATACTTTTTGCATACCTTGCCTACCTTACGATTATAATTTTCTTTTAAGACTTAGAAGAAAATGATAATAAAATAATGATAAACAAGTAAAATTAAATAACAGAAACAATCCTGTACTTTAAAATAAGTTTATTAAAGAATCCAGTTACCAATTTTACATTTGAACCATGACATTAACAAAATAGTAAATTTTTGTTGATTTAACTTTAAAATAGTTCTCCCAAAAAGAAAACTATCTGAAGTTTTACCCTTAGCCACAATGTGTTTGTAAGCTCACAAATCATATACTTTAAAATGACATGCATGGTGTCAAATATTAATAAAAAAGATTTGTCCTAATTATGGTACCTCAGTTACTACCCAGAACATCCTCTACAACCACAATGAACACATTCAACTATCCTACCTTCTTCTAGTTTGCTTTTGGGTACCCTACATATACAGTTAGTTGCAAAATTTGTATCTCTAGTCTGAATGCATCTCAAACAGCAAAGATTTTCATAGCCTGTCTTTTTCCATTTTGCTATCAGATTGGCATCTGCAATCTTCTCATTTATACAGTATTGATAAAGCTCTCTGCTAATAGCTTTTCTTCTGTAGAACAAGTCATAGATGTATCGAGATTTTTGATGATGTATCTTGAATATAGGCCAAAGTGATTCTTGTTTCCGTTTTCCTTCATGTGGTTCAGTTTCCGCTGAAAAAAGTAAAATTCATTACTAGATGTATTTAAAGTCTAAAGATATAGTTTTTTTAGGATATAACTTCATATAAAATATAAATTATATGATAGGTCATCTAAGCAAAATGCAGTAAGTAAATAATAAAATTTACGCAATTAAAACTTACCTTCTCGCATTTTTTGCTCCAATTCCTCCAATGTTGGTTCAATAAGTTCCCAACCTTCTGGGGGAGGTTTCCGACTTCGGCGTACTTTCGGCATTGCTCCCTTTTGACTATAATAACAATTTCCTACTTCATAAGAAACCTTAATATTTACTATTTCAAACTAGGCAAGCATGTTTTTATACACAGTTTATAATTGTTGAACGATGCTTCAAAGACTAACTGACTAAGCAGTAAACTCCAATAATTGCTAGATTTTTTTTTAATTTCGACGTGACAAGTGCTGGTTTTGCTGGCTACCTTATTATATCTAGAGAAATATGTAATTACGAAATACAATAAATATAAATAAAAGTGCTTTTAAAATTGAATAATGATTATTAACGTAAGGGTTGATTTTGATTATTGTGAATACAACACAGACTATTAATTCACATGTGTCTTGTCTGTGGACATTTTAAATGTCACATAGCAAATTTCACGAATGAATTTGGCAAAACTTAACGAGAAATCTGAAGTCTGAACCACAGCCGCTGCCTTAACACTTAACTGTAGTGTCAGTAGTATTATGTAGAAAGTCGAAAACTAAATTTGTATGTAAATGACAGTTCGTGTCGACTAATTTTCATACAAATTTAGGTAAAAAGAAAATTAAGGCATCTTGATAATGCTCAAAGATTTTGTAAAGGTAAAATTATGCTCGAGACAAGCTGAAGACCATAAAAGAAGACTAGACAAAAACATGACCTCAATATGTAACTCAATGCAATACTGCCATAAAACTATAACTGAGATACTAGGACTGTTTTTTTATTCGTATTTATTTGGAGGAAATGACAGAAATCTGAAACCATCTAAATCTACACTTAAAAAGAAAATACATATTCATGTCTAAGTTCCGTAACCTTGTTATAGATGAGTAAATCTTTAATACAATAATATATTTCGTTTAAATCTCAAGCTTAGGTTTAATTTATTACATTTATGATCTTCAAGCGTTTAAATTATCAACAACTTAGTAGGTTATCGAAAAGAATATTATTTTTAAAGATGTCTATTTTGTTTTTTTATATGAAGACACTATAAAAAGCACAAATTTGTACAAATGCAAAGCAGTACAAATCAAACTATGGTACAAATATAGATTTAGAAGTAAGTACAAAACGAGTATAGGAAAATCAGTTATTTTAAGCATCCTTGTTAGACTTAAACTAAGACGGTTGAATTGGTTTTGACAAATCAATATGTGTAAAGTTAATGTTAGTGATTTATACAATGTTTAGATTAATATTATCTATATTTTTGCTATGTTTAATGAAACGCTTAGATGGTTTATCCCTAATCTGTATATATATTTCTCCTTGGGTTACCACCACAAACGAACCACGTCAGTTTATAGGGGATTTGAACTAGACAGGCAGGCGGGTTAAGCATTTAAATTTGTTTTTATTATGTCACTGGGCTCCCCAATTTGGAAAATTTTCCAATTCCATTTAAATAAACTTCATATATCATTAAGGATTAATTTATATACCTTTTTGGACTTATTTTTGTTGTTACTGAGGATAGTCCTAGCAGGATGGTGACGAGGATGCCGAGGGGGATGGTTTTTGATTTATCATTCTTACTTGCTCACGCATTTACAGAAAAAACGCCTTCCAACTTTTTAAGCTGTCTTTTATATTTCTTCGATACACGTAATCAACGTTGAGAAAGGTAGCGGTAAAGGTAACACTTACAATCTATGGCTAAAATCGCTGCAATGACCTTGAAACAAATTTATTCCGAGGATATACACAACTGTCGACCATAGCCATTTAGCCTTTGGGCCAGTCAGTGGTTATACGGGTTGGGAATTTTCCCTTTTAGCCGGAGTATCAACCATGCTTCGCAGATTTAAAACCTTGTTTAAACATCGACAAACAGGATGGCGGATGTTTATCACCTGTAATATATTACTTGTTGCTTAAGTTAATTTAATGAAGTCAGTATAAAATAATTTTGTGTTTTTTAAAAGGCCCCAATACGGTTCTAGCAATAAGAAATATTTCAAACGTTGTTTATAGTTTGAGAGCGGTTTAGTTTCTAGTTAAAGTTTTTTTATCACAGAGGGGTTTTGTAGTTACAGGATATATGCCAAACAATAAATAATTAAGTAATTCTTCTCGTCCTTGACTTGCGAACTGGTAGTAAATGTAAATTTAGAATTAATGTAACACCTTTTCTGTTGACGTTCAAAAGTGTACTTGGTTACATATATGAATAAAGTTTTTTAGAGTTTGAATAATAATATTTATACTAACTTACTATCTTATACTACTAACAAACATTATTACTACTTAAAAAATTAAAACGTCACGTCTAGCAGTCTTCTCAAACCTATCACAAATAAATGCAGTTCTGGTGCAGACCTGAGGTAACGGTTAAGTAGCGAAAGCGTATGCGCAATTCGGTCTTGTGTTTAAAGCTTTAAAAAAATTATGACGGTATATATATGGTAGTTAGATACCTTTATCTTATCTATAAAGAACATTTAGATGAAACACACAGTTGTCTCAGTCATGAATAACGGGGGTTGTTGGATATCGCAGGCCAAAAGCGACATTAAAACGTAGACTAAAGATAGCCCTTACTCTTTCAGAGTTTGTACGGGCCTGTAAACCTTAAATAAATTTTTTTTTTGAATGGCCACATTTTTTTCAAAAGCGGTTCATTAGAACTACAACCTCACAAACTTTACCTCTATAATATTACTATTAGTATATCTATAGATAATCTGCGCTATCTCTTTTATTCTAATGTATTCTTGTAGATTTTACTACAATAATTTATTCTTGTAGTAAATATCCCAATACGGCTGGTCCCTGTAGGGGCAGTAGACCACCACCGTTCTACCAAAAAATATGTTACATATTTTACCTTTATTTTAAAAGTTATTTTTTTATAATCCATATAAAAAAAAATTCAATGTTCATAATTAAGTTTTTGAAATAAAGGCTATTGTTATTAATTTATTATTAGCGTATTAAGGAATATTTAAACACATTTGTATTACATTAACACGAGTCTTTGGGGTCACACAAAGTCAAACGATAAGAAAAGTACATAAAAACTAGATGATGTAAACAATCTCTTCGAACTATATTTAGAAACTGCGATGAAACGGTGTTTATAATTGAAAAATATGTACATATTATAATAATTGAGGCTAAATCAATTAACACGAATTTGACCTTGACCTTAAGAAGTTCGATTACATTCACATAAACATAGAAAAATCCCTCAAAATGGCCATTGGTATTAATATTTAATCAATTATCCATTTGTATATTAATTTTATTTTTAATAGACTATTCGTCATAAAGTCTACCTGTGTGCATAACGGGCTAACCCATACAGGTTTATATGTATTCTACCTCCCTCTATCACAATCAAATTACCGATGCAAGACAGAGAAAGGCATAATTTACGTGAGGTAGTGGAATGCGAGGCGCTCGCGCAACCTCCAATTCAACTAGTTGAGGTTTCATTGCGCCGCCGCTCACAGCTTTACATTATTACGAAAATATGTGTGAAATTTTGATAAAAAAGTGTTGATAAGTGTTTGATAGTGACGATTGTGAAGTGCAGTGTTATGATATAGTTGACGGAGATTCGTAGGCGAGTTTTATTTACCTGTAAGTATATAATCACCTGATGACGTGTTTGCATCGCGATCCTTAGCTTGCGAAGAAATAAGTATTGGGAAACAGTATATATAGTCGTTACCCCATAATATAAAAATCGTTCCGTATTTTGACATTGCTTAATCAACTTCCTTGGTAATACTATTACGTTATTAATATTTACCCCCCAATCTAAGTTAATGACCTAAATTGTTTAGTTGAAGTAGAAAGGTTTGATTAAATGCGGAAGTCGAGCAGGTCCTTTACCACTGTCTGCTAAGTTATTAACCTATGCAATGTAATATTAAGGTGTAATATAAAAATAACTTACACAAAATCCGAAATGGACACATTCATTCATACAAAACACATAAAAAGTTCTATCAATACCTTAGTAGATAGAATGTTACAACTCTTAACATATTGGGTTATTAAAAGTCGAGTAAACTTATTAATTTTTAAGACTCAAAATTTATAAGTATATTACACTAAAATACATATAATAAATTCATATAAAAATATATTATTTACGTATTTTTATTTAGCAAAATTTTGATTAAGTTCGAAACTGGCCCAATTTTTCGCTATACAATTATTACAAAACATTTTTATAATAGCCTATTAGCTACGTGATTATGCAGAGCTGAAGTTGCAATAATAACAATTTTGCAACTTTAGCATTATAATTAAGCTTACGTCACCTATATTATTTATACAAAAAATTCGAATGTAAACGGATAAACATATATTTTTATCGAGGATATTATTACTAAGACTCGGTTGATATGTGCCCTTTACCAGATGTTTATATTTTAATAATAACTATATAGCTGGTAATCTATTAAGTTTATATTGGGTTATGTTTATCCAATCATTTATATGTGACTTAATTAAATTTATGTAACAGTTATAAACGATACAAAGCTTTCTTGTTAAAGACATCAACGCTCGCAACGAAAGCAACGGGGTCCTTTCAAAATATCACAAATTCTAAAGTATCTCGTTACTGGGCTTTTGATTAGGTATTATGGCACTACAAGAAATATAATATGACAGGAATATGCAGGTATTAAATTACATATGTTTTACGAAATTAAATGCAAATGGCACTTTGATGAAGATGATTCAAATGACTTTAACAGCATTCCTCGTTTATTTTATGCACAATATTTTAACTGAAATCATTTTGGTTTTTCGATTAAGGAATTACAAAGCCGGACATATTGTAATTTTATTGATACTTTTACAATAAATATGCTACTTTTCATTTGACTAAAACTATCGCAAATAAATAATTAAATTATTTCATTTGTGTGTCCTTGACAAAAATTTACCAAGAAATTGTAAAATGTACCGCTTTTATTATATTGACATACGTTATGCAAAAATGAAAGGCATGGTTAAACTAAAATCACATCGATACTTTATCATT